GCAGAGAGGCGGAAACCGGAACTCAGAGCAGCTTCAAAGGCATCCCTGAGCGGAAGTGATGAATGAAGGAAAGTCACAGACGTGACAAGCCACAGCTGTCGCAGGCTCCCCAGGACAGGCCAGTGAGGAGCGTGTGGGGTGGCAGCAGACCAAGCTCTGCGTGCAGGAGGCCCGGCTCGGACCTCTGCAAGCTCTCTCCCCCAAGCCCCACCAAGAATGGCCCCCGAGAGCAAAGGTCAGGAGTAGCCTTGAGCATGGCCGGATGTGGTTTCAACTGTCCCCGCTCCCCAAATGGCTGCTCTGTGAAGACAGCAGTGGCATTTAGAAACTAGCACGGGTAAGTGGAATAGTCTAATTTTATTAACAAAACCAAACCAAAATTGTTCTCAGGCCAGAGAAACAGTACAGTGAGCAGAGCACTTGCCTTGCACGTGGCTGACCTGGGTTTGATCCCTGCCACCCCACATGGTCCCCCACGCCTGTCAGAAGTGATCCCTGAGCACAGAATCGGGAGTAAGTCCTGAGCACTGCCAGGTGTGGCCCTAAAACCGAAAGAAGGAAAAATGGAAGAGACTAATACAGCTTGTCCCTCCCTGTTGGGAGGCCGCCTCAGCTGTCAGAGGCAAAGCACAAACTGATGAGGCTCAAGAAATGTGAGCAACCGTGTTCTACAAATGCTCTCTGAGGGCTAAAATGGTGCAGAACGCAAGAATGGAGGGCATCTATCGACGAGTGTCAGTGGAAAGGCAGTAACTGCTCACCGAGTCCTTCACTGCGATGGCCTAAGCGACACTCCTTAGAATAGCTGTGCTCACTGTAGACACCAACTTCTCAGAACAGACTGGAGAGGCTCCGAATGTGCGCCCAGAGCAGCCCGGGTACAGCGGGGAGCACCGCCCCTTATCCTACCACAAAAGGCAGAATTCCTGACAGGGGAACAAGGCTGGTGTCAACCTGGCGGGAAAGTCCTTAGGGCTTGGGGAGTAAGTTTTAATATATTGCTCTGAATTTGTCTACCGCGCTTCCCCACTCACCACCTCACGAAGCTAGCTAACAACTTAAGGCAACTGTGCCACAGTCCAGTTTCGAGGCCCACAGCCAAGCAGGTCATCATACATGACCTCACTGCAGTGGGCCACATTTACAAACACACCCGTAGCCACCTGACAAAATGTCATTCGGAGCTAAAGGGAGTAAGTAAGCTTCTTGAGGGGCAGGGCACTTGATCCCAAAGGCGAGCCATTCTGAGCTGACAAATGGTCTAGAGTTACTACCACGGATGCCTCACAAATTAGAAGCATAGATCACACTAAGTTTATTATCAGAATTTGGGATTGTATACTAGACGGTTCTCTACACCAGCCGTCCAATCAGAAGACTGCAAATTATTACTACAACTTTTATTTTAGTTTTGGGGTCACACCTAGGGTGCACAGGGATAGAACCTGGGTCAGCCGCGTGCAAGGCAAGCACCCTACCACTGTACTATCCCTCTGGCCCGACACTCCGATTTTAAGGTTGTTCGGATTTCAACTTTCCCTTTGTATCCCATCAGCTCCGTGCCCTGGGAGTCACCCACAGGAAGCCGACAGTACCTGAGGTACTGGACAACGGCAGCTCCCTGAGGTCATCCAAGTAACAGAAGCAGAGAGCACGCTTCCAGGGGCGCTGCTCCGAGCCCTGGGTGCACAGAAGTTGGGGAGTGTCTACCGTCCACTTTGGCTTGCAGCGTGTGTACCCAGATGAATGTGCATCTCCAGGGCCTGCTCAGGGCACCCCCAGCCTGCAGGGCTCCCCACTGGTCAAACCAAGCTTCTCTTGGCAGTCTCGCGTCAACGGAAACACCACTAGAAACCCCAGCCCTTTATGTGGAGATAACGTCCAGTCCTCCCAGACCCCCAAGTAGCCCCCCAATCTTATCAGACAACACTTAGGCCTCGAGATACTCTGGCTGCCACACTGGTGGGCTGTGAGCACAGTCTGCCCAGGGAGGCCTGAAGAAGGAGTGGGGTCGTGCCCGTTTGCTGCTTGTACTCTGCAATTTCCACTTTGGTCTTTTGTTCTAAGCTCAAAATCCTCTTTGGATTTCTTTCAGCCAGCCAAGAACAGATACTAAGGAAGGTATTTTATGAGAGCAAAGCACTGGAAAAAGAAAAAAGAAAAAGAAAGAGACAGGGGAGGATTTCTTTTTGGGCCACACCTGGTGGTGCTCAGGCTTACTCCTGGCTATGTGCTCCAGCATGATGCCTGGCAGGCTCAGAGGCCTGTACCCGGGCAGGCCATGTGCAAGGCAAACATCCTCCCCATGTGCCATCTCTCCGGCACAGACGGTCTGTAGCTAAGACAGCGGTGTAGTCCAGGGCTGACTGGGATTTGGATCAGATACCAGAATCTTCGTGTCTATAGCTCAGCACTGACCCGGATTCTTACTCCTCTGTGCCTGCCGAAAGCATTTTTCACCTGAGCACATACAGTGTAAACGAGTGTGTGCAAACACATCTGTACGTTTCATTAATCTCTCAGCGAAGGCCACACGGGCAGGTTTTATTATTCCCCGCTGAGAGACGGCCTACCTTCCTATTCTATGTCAAAGCCCCCGTCTCTAAGTTCCTGTTTCCTACGACAACTCGGCACTCACCTGCTGGCCTCCAGTGCAGCCAGAGTCACATTCCTACACTTCAGGTCGGTTCATGCTTAGGAAACTTGGGCTGGGGTGGGAGAAGCTGCAGGGCTTCAAGCGCGAGCCTGGTGTGCGGTGGATCCAGGTGCAAGGGCCTCTGACATCACTGGGCCAAGTACTCCCAGCCCCGAGGGTCTGCACTGAACCACCTGAAAGCACCTGCGAGCAGTTTTTTGGGCAAGAACCCTGGGAGGAACTGAGACAGTGAGCACGGCGGGCGGGATCCCTGCCTTGCACACGGCCGACTCAATCCCCAGCACCCCATACGGTAGTCCTGAGTCCCACCAGGGGTGATCCCTAAGGTACCCTAAGGCTTCCCAAATGGAAGCTGATGTTCCCACGTACACCTCACCACTCTCTGGCTTCAGTGAGCTCGATGATGAGGCCACCTGTCATGTCCCTGTGTGGCGGGCACTCTGGGAGCGGCATCTGTAAATAACGGTCTTTTCTTATTTTTACATTTATAGGCTTTGGAGTCATACCCAGCAGAGCTGCAGTGCTTGGGGGACCATAAGCAGAGCTGGAGATCAAACCAGGGTTGACTTCATGCAAGGCAAGGGCCTTAACCCTGCACTTTTTCTCTCTCCAACCTGAAATAGTCAGGACTGGATCGCACCTGAGAAGGACACATCATTCCTGCCACCGGAGACCCACCCCTTATGGCACCTTTCAGAGCAAATCGGATCTGCCACCCCTGAAGACCTCCTTCCTTTCGTGAAACCCCCTCTGCTAAACCTTCTATGTATCTTTACACACACCCTACTAACTGGCTGCTCAAACTCTAGGATGCTCCCCTGCTTGGGCTATAAAAACTGTTTTCAAACAAATGCCTGACATCAGTAAATGCTCGATTTGAATACCCACATCCATTATCGAGGGGGGGGGGGGCTCCCAAGCCGAGCTCGGGGCTTGCACAGCACACCCAGAGAGCAGGTGTTGCTGGGGAGTGGCCCTGGATCAGCACCCAAGCACCGCACGCTCCCGGCACGCTCCCTAGCTCTACCTCCCTAGCTCTACCTCGCGGACTCCGTTTCATGAACATGTTGGAGAAGAGCGCTGGGTGGCAGGTGAGCGAGTCCAGCCCTGGCCAGGCTGCGCCGGACCGACCAGGGAAAGCACAGTCCTCTGGCTGTCCTGGCCCACCCGACTTGTTCACGCTTACCCCGGCCTGTTCCCATCTTCTCCAGATCTCAGAGGTCTGAGTCCGGCTGACGGGCAGTGATGGAATTCACACAACCTGAACGCCGAGTACTTCCAAAGAGCCAGGCTCCCCGCACCTAGTCAGCGATGCCTATTTTAAGACCAACGCACGGGCTGCTTCCCCTGGCAAGAGAAAAACTTCTCTTCGGCGTTAAGTGCGCTCTCTGCCTGCAGGGCCCTGGATCTGAGGCCGGGCTGCCGTCGGCTGGGACGGAAGCTGCGGGGAGCAGGAGCTCTGCCCCGGCTCCAGACCACCCTCAGCACGCATCGGAACTGGCACGGGGCAGAGGGGGCACGCACCGGACGGAGCCACGCGCGCGCCGCGGGGCAACTTCGTCGAAAGCCCTCAAACACGAGGGAGCGAAAGACAAAAGAGAAAGCCCCCCTCCCCCCAGCACGGACTCTGCCGCGGGCCGGGCGGGACCCGTCCCGCCCCGCAAACGCGGTCCCGCAGAGAAAGTTGCCGGGCGGCCGCGCGCGGCGCGGGGAACAAAGCGGGGCGCCCGGCGCAGACAATGGGCGCCGCGGCCGGGGCGGGCCGGCGGGGGCGGGGCCTCGGCGGGGGTCGCGGCTCACCTTGAGCAGGCAGCTGTTGAGCGGGGCGGGCACCGAGGTGCGGTGGATGACCAGGTCCTGGCCCGGGTTGTGCACGTCGCAGATGAGCTCCAGCACGGCGATGCTGCGCGCCGTGGACACCGACACGCGGTGGTCCTCGGACCAGGCCAGCGGCTCCAGGCCGCTCACGGCGTACTGCAGCTTCAGCGACGGCTCGCGCCGCGTCACCAGCAGGCGGAAGGCGGCGCTGGGCCCGGCCGCCGCGCCCGCCGCGGGCTCCCGGCCGCCCGCGTCGCCCTCGTCCTCGTCGCCGGCCGCCGCGGGCCCCACCCGGGCCATGTCGGCCGCGCTCATGTCCCCCCGCGCGCACAGGCCGGATGCCCGCGCGCCGGCTCCTCCCGCGGGCCCCGCGCGCCGCCGGCCAGGAAGGACCCCGCCGTTGCCGGGCGACGGGCCGCGGCTGCCCGGCGCGCTGCCTGTCCGCGGGCGGCCGGCCCGGAAGGCCCCCGCCGTTGCCAGGCGACGGGCCGCGGCTGCCCGGCGCGCTGCCTGCGCGCGGCGCGGGGGCGGGGAGCGGCGGGCGCGGGGCGGGCGCGGGGCCGGAAGGGGCGCGGCCCGGGCCGGGGCTGGGCGCACGTGGGGCCGCGCTGGCCGCTTCGCTCTCCGCTCCCGCCGCGCCCATGGCCACCGCCGGGACCCTGCTGCACGTCTCGGGGCCTCGGGCCGCCGCGCCCGCCGCCGCCTCCAGCCCGCGGGTGAGTCCCGGGGGGCGGGGGCGGGGGCCGGGGCTCGGGGGCGCCGGGGGGCCGGGCTCCGGGGGGGCCGCGGGGGCGGGCTCCGGGCGCGGGAGGGCCGGGCGTCCGGGCTCCTGGGCTCGGGGGGTCGCGGCCGCGGTGGGGGAGGGGCGCGGGCCTGGCCGGGCCCTGCGGGGCCCCGGCGCCCCCCGCGCGCGGCCGTGTCCGGAGCGAGGGCCGGACGCTGGACATTCCTTCGCGAACTTTCCTACGTGGCAGGGGGCGGGGCGGGGGCGCCGGACCCCGGGAGTGACCGCTGACCCCGGGCCGGGCCGGGCGGGGCTGGCCCCCCGCGGGTTCGCTCGGACGCAGCCCCCCAGCCCGCGCGCGCCGTGGGAAGTGGGCGCCGGAGTGACCCCGCCCGGGGACAGCCCGGCCGGGGGTCGCGGGCGGGGGACACGGGGCGAGGCGACCCCGGCGACCCGAGGGAAGTGCCTCTCGCCGGCTCTGGTCCCCAGCTCTGTCTGCAAAACGGCGCTTTCCGGAAAGTTACTTGGAGGATTCAGAGCGGAGGTGCAGGGGGCCGGCGCTCTCGCCCAGCGCGCAGCCCACCCAGGTCCGGTCCTGGCGCCCCGGAGGGTCCCCCAGCCCGCCAGGAGTGATCCCTGGGCACAGCTGGGTGTGCTCAAAAACAAAGAGAGGATACGGCAGGGCGCTCGCTTCCTGGCCAGGGGCGCTGAATAGAGGCCAGGAGTACAAAGAGGCTGTACTCGGCCGCAGGGGGCTGCAGAGTCTCCCTCCTCGCCCGCCAGGGACCCCCCTCAGCAGGCCGGGGAGCTGCTTGCCCAGGCCGCCTCCCCTCCGCGCGGGAAGCACTTTCTAGCACTGTTGAGCGAGTTGGGTCAGTGGAGGGGGGGTGATTTTCTGAACGCCTGCACTCCCGTGGGAGAGTATGGGTTCCTGAGGGGTGTCAGCGGCTCCCGTGGGCCTCAGTATCTCCATTTTGTAGTATGATGCAGATGAGAGTTGGGTGTGCCCGCCACTTGGCCAGCAGTGAGACCAGGCACCAGAGTTTAGGGAGATCACTGAGGCATGCATTACCCTTGACTTTTGCATCCCATTTTTTTGGTCCAGAAATTGGTCTCAACTCTTTACCGTGCATAATTATCGCAGGGTAGGATTCTGTTCGTGTCACTAAACGGCAGGTACGGGAACCGTAGGACAGCGGATAGGGTAGTTGCCTTGCACACAGCCAACCCTTGTTCGATCCCCAGCATCCTATACGGTCCCCCAAGAATGCCAGGACTAAGCCCCGAGCATCGCCCGCTGTGACCCAGCCTACCCTCCCCCAGTGAAAGTCAAAGCAGTGATTATTTCATTGGTGTTTGTGGGGCGGCCTGCTTTTTTGCCCCCCTCCTCCAAATTGGCACAAAATATGTCATAACTATGCAGTTAAACATGGAAACTCAGTTTGGAAAGACTTGAATGGCGGGATTGTGCTAAGTCAAACACCATGCAGAATGCCTCTTTCTAAAGACTTTTCTTGATGATTAATATTAGGATTGTTAGAGGGTACTTATTTATTTTGGGTTTTTTGTGCCATTCCTGGCAGTGACCGCGTGTGGTACTGTGCTTTGAACCGTTGTCGGCCATGTGCGAGGCCCTGCCTGATCTGTGCTCTCCCCAATCTCCCCCCTTGGGGGTTATTTAAAAGGTAGTTTAATAAAAAAAAACCACCGAAATCCCCAGGACCGGAGAGATGGCACGGAGGCTAAGGTGCTCTTCTTGCTCATCACAGCCCCAGTTTGATCCCCAGCCCCACAGACGATTCCCTGGGCCCCTCCAGGAGTGATCCCTGAACACTGCAGCTCTGGCCCCCGAACCAAAGTCCAGACTGACCACAGACCCCCAGACTTGGAGCATTCTGGTGTGTGGCCATCTCGGGAAGAAGGCCACACTCGCGGGGATCAAGCTCCACCGTTTTCTCACCGACCGTGGGGGCACAGTGGGCATGTGCCCGTGGAACTTGGGAACACTGGGAGCCTGGTGGCTGGCCCCAGGATGGCCTGGTTCTCTGGGATCTGAGGGCCATCACAGCGCAGATCTGCCTTCCAGTGCAGTGGGCTGGAAAGGGAGTGGGCGGGGCGGGAGAGCCCTGCCCGGGGGTGGCCCTCGGAACGGGGTGGCTCTGGGAGCATCTGGTGCGGACTTGGTGTGCTTGCGTGCTCTCCGCTGGGCTGGGGGGACAGGACGTGTTCAGAAGGTCCAGGTCAGTCCTGGCCAGTGCCGGCTTTGGCCCCTGCTCGGTGTACCCCTCTGGTCTCTGATCTGGCGCAGCCCCCTTTTCTGTACAGACACGTTCGGGTTGGTTTGTGGTTTGACACGTTGGTCTCTTCCTTTTCTCAAGGATTGGTTAAGGGACTGGAGCCCGAGGATGGCGGAGAGGCGTTTGCCTCGCGTGTGGCCAACCCCGGTTTGCTCCCCGCTAGCCCATATCCCGAGCCCGCCAGGAGTGATCCTTGAGCACAGAGCCAGGATAAGCCCTGAGCATCACGGGGTGTGGCCCAAAACCAGGAATTGGGGAAAAGGCGTTTGTTATTCTTTCCACTGAGCAGGCTGGCGCGGCTTCTGGGAGACTTGGCCAGCTGGGCCGGAGGGGCCGCTGGGGCCGGGAGGGCAGCCGCACCCCGCAGTGCTGGGCGCCTGAGTGGCCCGAGGGGCCGAGGACACGGAACCTTGGGTACACAAGACTTCACCCCCTGACCTCAGCCTTCGTCTCCACCTGTGGCCAGTTGTTTTTGCTTTCGGGGCCACATCCAGCTGTGCCTGGGGTTACTCCTGGCTCTGCGTTCAGGGTTCATTTCTGGTGGTGCTTGGGGGTCCCCGTGCGGTGCTGGATCGAGCCCCATCGCCCAGGTGCGAGGCCAGCATTTGCTGTACTCTCAGGCTAGGGCAGGCTTTCTGGTTTTGTTCTCGTTCGGTGAGGGGCAGTCATGCTCCGGGGATATTCCTGCCTCTGCACCCAGGAATTACTCCTGGCAGTGCTTGGGTGACCAGAGAGGATATGGGGATCGAACCGGGTTGGCCACGTGCAAGGCGAGCGCCCTGTCCACTGTGGCCGGCTTCCCCCAGCAAGTGTGCGGTGGCTATGGGCGAGAACAGAGTGGCTCGGACCCCGCTCGTTTCTGGTCTAGGGGACAGACCCGGGGATTCTGGAGCTGCTCGTGACTCTGGCCTGAGGGGCTGCGGCTGGGGGCCCTGAACCCTCTCTCTCACCCTCAGCACTTCCTGTGGGGGTGGCACTGGCTGGTCGGCGCAGCCTGGATTCCATTTCTCTCTGGAGCTCACAGCCTGCTGGGGCCCCAGGACGGGACTGGGCGCGGGCGGGAGGGTGAGGCCTCCCCAGGCCCCGCGCCCAGATCTGCAGGGAGAGGGTGGATTAGCCAGAGAAGGCGGGGACTCGGGCGGCTGGGCACCCTGGCCCCGGGGCCAGCCTGGCCAGTGCAGGGCATGCTGAGACTGAAGGTTTTCTTCTGGCCTGTTGGGGGGGGGGCTGTCTGGGCCTGTGAAAGGCCATGTCAGAGCACGGGGGTGTTTGACGTGGCAGATCCTGCACCCTGCAGGCGTCCCTGGGGGCAGAAGCCCCCAGCTTGGTCCTCCCACAGCGCTGAGAGTAGCTCTGAGCACCACTGGGTTTGGGCCCCCTCCCCCAAGAAAAACCCACCCCAGCCTGGCGGAATGGTGGATTCTGCTTGGGTGGCAGAAACCCTCCTTCCTCCTACCCGCACACAGATGGGCTGCCTCAGGCGGAGGCCCCGAGCCCCCAGCTGCCCGCCCCGCCCCCTGCTCCGATAGGGTCTCCCGGCCAGCGGGAGTGGCCACGCCTGTGTGTGCTGAGGGGCCCGGGGGCCGGCGGCTGAGGCGTTGCAGCCCGGAGCGGCTTGTAAATGATCCAACAGACTCCATCTCTCCTTTGCTCTGACGCTTCATAAAGTTGGAACTTGGTGAAAGCACATTTGTAAAATGGAGGTCAGTGCTTTGTTAAATGCTGAATAGTGGGGGCTTTTATTTCTTGAGTTACTTAGCCAGAAATCAGAGAATTACCGCTACATTAGTTTGTTGTCAAGTTGATATGTAAGAGGCAGTTGTGCTTTCAGGCCTGGTGGAAAAATAATATATGTCAAGAAATAGCAAAACTCCAGAAAAGCCAGCTCTGCCTGCTCCCAGGGTGGGTTCTGCTCCCGGGAAGGGGAGGGAAGGGGAGGGGAGGGAAAGGAAGGGAAGGGAAGCAAACTGGAGGGGAGGGGAGGGGAGGGGAGGGGAGGGAAGGGAAGGGAAGGGAAGGGAAGGCAGAGAAGAGGAGGCATTGGGCGTTTCCTTCCTGGTAGGGGGAGTTGGGGCAGCGTGTCGCAGAAATAAGCAACAGGCGAGAGAGCAGTGTTCTTGTGCGTGGCACAGACAGGAGACGGGGGTCCCGACTCCTGCTGCCGAGGGCAGAGTACCCCGACGGGCAGCGCACACCACTGTCTGCAGCCTCTCTGCCCCCCGCACTCGGGGCTGGGAGGCCCCTGCTGGGCGCCGTGGGTAGAGGGGCGCCTGGTCCCCCCGTCCCTCGGGGCTCTCCCCTGCAGGCGGAGGGGACAGGCCTCGCGGTGGCAGGGACGCGGTCGGGCACCCTGACGCCTCTCTCCTCGCAGCCCGCAAAGGCCAAGAGGAAGCGCCCCGCGGCGGCCTCTGGGGAGGCTCCGGCCGTGACTCCAGCCGTGAAGCGGAGGAAGAATGCAGCCTTGCTCAAGGCCCAGAAGGCCGCTGCCGGCCGGGCCCCACGGGCTCTGCGGGGCAAGGCGCCGCGAGCCGCCCCCAAGAAGCCTCCGGCCGGCGCGGGCAACAAGAGCCGAGAGCAGCGGCCGAGCGTCAAGACATCGTCTCTGTTCAAGAACAACCCGGAGATCCCCGAGCTCCCCAGGTAGGGCCCGGGCGGGGGCCGGGCGCGGGCACGGGGTTGGCCGGGCTGTCCGCGCCTCACCGTGGCTCTCGCCTTCGCAGGCCGGCCGTGAAGCCGGTGCAGGAGAAGGTCTTCACCTCGGACGCCTTCCAGGACCTGGACCTGCACCCTCACCTGGTACGTGCCGCCATGGACGGCCCCCGGCATGAGACTGGCCGCCTGGCGGGAGCCTGGGCCCAAGCGAGGGGCTCTGGGGAGCTGAGTGGCCTTTCCCCTGGCGACAACCTTGTGGGTCGCCCCAGCATGCACACCCAGTTGGGGGAGAGCCAGGGTTCTGCAGCTGGGGTCTCGCAGCCTGTGCGGGTACCAGCTGGGAGCCAGCTCCCCACCCCCACCCCCCTCCCCCCTGAGAGCCCACTAAGGAGTGTCTTGGCATCTGTTCTAGATCTCCACGATAAACACGGTGTTAAACATGTCCAACATGACCAGGTAAGTGCCGGCTGAGGGGTGGTGAGGGGGGCAGGGGAACCTGGGGTGGGCTCTGTGGCCCCCCTGCCTGCGTACTGGGGAGTCTGGGCCCCACCCAGTCCCGCCACCCCCTCCAAGTGGTGTCCCGTTCAGAAGAGGGCTCGCTCCCGGGCACCCCAAGGGACACGCCCACAGAGAATCCTCTGACGGAGCACTGTGGCCCGAGAGAGCTGGCCATGGGGCACGAGGGACTGGGCCTGGGCCAGTGAGCGTGAGAGTCGCCAAAGGGGCGGGCCACCTGGTGGGGTGCTGAGGTGTGCTTATGCGTTTTCCTTTTATCTTTTGTGGTTTTGGGGGCCATACCCAGCAGTGTTCAGGGCTTACTCCTGGCTCTGTGCTCAAAGCTGACTCCTGGCTCTGTGCTCAGGGCTGATCCCGGCTCTGTGCTCAGGGCTGACTCCTGGCTCTGTGCTCCGGGGTCGCTCCAGGTTGGGGTCAGATGCTCTCTGTGGTATTAGGGGTTCAGACTTGAGCTTTTCCATGGGGGGACCTTAGCCCCTGTGGTCTCTCGGCCCCATGACCGAGCGTGAGCGCTGCCCATGGTCTGGGCTGCATCAGCAGGCTCACGGGGCTGTGTTCTCTCTGGGTGCAGCGTGCAGAAGCAGAGCATCCCTGCGCTGCTGGAGGGCAGAGACGCGCTCGTGCGCTCCCAGACGGGCTCAGGTCAGTTCCTGCCCCTCCTCCTCCTCTTCCTCCTGCTCCTCCTCCCCCCACCCCCCACCCTCGGGTGCCAGGCGGGTGGGGGCTATGGGTCAGAGCCCCTGGCTGCTGCTTGGCGGGGGAGGGGCGGGTGTGCGGTGTTCTGGCAGGGAGTTTTGTTGGCTTTTTGGGCCACCCAGCCGTGGCCTTCCTCGTCAGGCCCCAAACCCCGGCCTAGCTCCTGGTCTCTCTTGTTTTCCCCATGCTTGACGGGCAGGGGCTGGGGCCATACTACACTGGCTGTGCTCAGAGCTCTGAGGGCTCGGGTGATGGGCCGTGTCAGGAGCAGCGTCGCTCTGCTGCCGGTGCTGGCCGTGGCCCCCCGAGCCCCGCTCTGTCCTTGTCCCTGACCCTGCCCGTCCCCCCCGCGCCTGGGGCGGGCGAGTTGGGCTTCTGGCGCTCACAGCTCTGCCCAGGCACGCGCTGGGCGGGCAGTTGGCCGACGCGAGGCCCCAGCCATGGCGAGACAGCTGGTCTGGCTCTCTCCGTCCTTTGCCCTCCGGGGCAGGTCAGCTATGCCCACTTGCAGCCCCGCCACCCTGCCCTGATGGAAGTGTGTGTGCCAGCCTTGCTGTGCCAGGGCCGGGTGGTGAGCTCTGGGCTCAGAGCGGTTCTGCCTGTTGGCACCGACCCGGGCTCAGGCCTTTGGGCCCTCAGACGGCCTGTGAGCGGGGGTCAGGGCGAGCTGCCCCTCAGCCTCAGCCTGCTCTGTCCTGCTTGCTCCGCAGGTAAAACCCTGGCCTACTGCATTCCCGTGGTGCAGTCGCTGCAGGCCATGAAGGTGAAGATCCAGGTGAGCCCCGGGCGCTCTCATGGTCTCGCGGGCCTGTGGGGCAGGAGGAAGCTCCCCAGACACGTGCCCCCCCCCCCCCCCCGGCTCTCCTGCTCATCCCACAGCGGCCGGTCTGTCTGTCTGTCGCCTTGTGTCACCAAACGGGCGTGGGAGCCCCCTGACTCTGCGGGCCAGCGGGTGGCTGCAGGGATGGCTGTCGGGGGAAGCGGGCGGGGCCACGCACACAGGTTGGGGTGGAGGGGGACCTGCATTTTGGCGGAAACAAGAATTTCATTCCGGGGGCTGGAGCAATGACACAGCGGGGAGGGCATTTGCCTTGCACGCAGCCGACCTGGGTTCAATTGCCAGCATCCCACATGGTCCCCTGAGCAACGCCAGGAGTCATTCCTGAGTGCGGAGCCAGGAGGAACTCCTGTGCACCTCCAGGTGTGACCCAAAAAGAAAGAAAAAAAAGTCATTCCAGTGGGAAATTCTGTCTGGACAGGGGGCGGGGGCACCGTCCCATAGAGGTCAGTCAGCCGGTTGCTCGGCCCCGGTGTCTGTCCTCTGGCCTTGCCCAGCGCCTGGCGCAGGCACCCTGCTTGTCCGGGTGAGGGGATGGTGGGCTCAGTGGGAGGCATGGAGGCGCCTGTGGCAGATGTGCAGAGAGCCGCGTTTGTCGGGTCGTGCAGTTGGGAGCAGCCGGCATTGCGGTGACCAAGTGGCTAGTGGCCTGCTCCTGCGCACCGCCTGTCCCTGCACTGACTGATGTGGGCTGGGCTGTGGCCCCCGGGAGCCCCCGGCTGCTGGGTCCCCCATGTGGGCCGTGCCCAGCATCTTGCTCAGGGTGGTTCCTCCTTGACTCTGAGCCCAGAGCGTGTCTCTGTCCTTGAGCCGCCCCCACAGATGCTACTTGGTCACAGGGATGCCCGGCCGCCACCTCTTCCTCTTGTCACCGAGAGATGAGAGCCGGCATCGTCCCTGCGAGGTGCAGGACACAGCAGCACCTCTGGGCTCTCCCCCCCGCACGGCGATCCAAATCAAGGGGCGTTTCAGGGCCTTTGATCAGGACCCCTCCCAGGTGTGACGGTGACATCAGACAACCGCGCCGGAGTTGCCCAGCCTGCAGAGGCGAGGGGCCGTGGCCGGTGGCGGCAGCCCCATTTGCAGAAGGGCGTCCCCAGGCCTGTGGGCGCCACCCTGGCTGCCAGCTGCCTGGCTGGGCTCGGTGCCCTGCGTGTTTGAGAATGGCCTGGAGACGGGAGCGCGGGGGCGGCACGAGGGCTGCTGGTGCGAGTCATACGTCTCTTCGTGAGCTCAAAGTGATTCATCCAATCAGCGTTAAGAGAAGCCCAGATAAGCACGCGATCGATAGAACCTTCTCGGCCGTGAAGAGCGCGGGCTGTGGGCTGCAAGCTAGTGCAGGCGCGGGAGGCTTGTGTCTGCATGCAGGGGGCCCACGTTCTCCCCCCAGCATCGTGTGGGCCCTGAGCACAGTCAGGAGCAGTCCCTGGACATTGCTGGACGTGAACCAAAAGTAAATTTGGGGGAATAAAGGACGGTGGTCTCGGTTACTGGGTGTGAACTTGACACCCGTGCTCACCCTGTAACAGAAAGCAGGTCACAAGGCCCTTGCGGGGACTGCGGTCCCTGAGCATCCGGGAGAAGCAGGCCGTCCTGCAGCAGCCTCCCGGTGACTGGAGGCCGTCCATGCAGGCCCCACGGCCAGCTGGGCATCGTGCTTGCAGGCACCCCGACAGCAGGCGGCTTTCCCTGCCCCTTCCTCGGCCCCAGGGGCCGGCAGGGAAGGAGCTGAACCGGAAAGAACATCTGGAGCCAGGGGCACTGGGGACTGCCCTGCTCAGGGCTCGGCCCTGACCTTCCTCTGCCACGCCACCGTCCTTCCCTCCTCCCTCCTCGCAGAACTGATTCTCTTTCTTCCTCTTTGAAATGTCAGCGTCTCCTGCCGTCACTCAGCACCTGCAGCGTCTGCTGCATTGACACGTTCGCTGCCGAGTGCAGAGATGTCCGTCTGGGTTCCGGGTGCCCGAGTGGGTGTGCCCCCATCTCCCAGCCTCTAGCCAGGGTGACCGTCCGTGTGCTAAAGCACCAAAGCCAGCGACGGGCGTACCCGGGTGGAGCACTGGGGTGGTCTGGGGCAAGGCGCCTGATTTCTCCGGTGTTTGGGTCTATCGTTGGGGTCCCTTGCTGGGTTTGGGTGGTTCCCTTGCTGGTGCCAGGTCGCTCTGCCTTGGCTCTGAGTAGACCCCCGGCATCTGGCCGAGTGCGTCAGGCGCAACCCCTCAGCTCTCGTGCAGCTCCCCGCTGGGTGGTTACACGTGCAGGTGAGCGTCTCAGACACACGGCCTGGGAGCAGCAGATGGGGCCACGGTTGCCCTTGAAGGGCGCCCACAGCGTGAGGCCCGGGGCTGTGCCCTCGCCAGCGCCCGCAGCTGTTGGTGGCGTTCGAGATTCCACTTGGGTTTCTCCTCCTGGCCCGGGTCCCTGTGGGGCCTCTGCCCTTCCATCGTTCTGCGACTCCGGGTTTGACTCAAGTGTCAGTTTTCCACATGGGAGATTTGAGCTTTTCTGTTCGCTCGTCATTTCGGGGCCACACCCAGGGGTGCTCAGGGACAGACCCCAAGCGGGTCTGAGTTTTTGTGTGTTTTGGTGTATTAACTGTTCTCTCTTGTTTGTGGCGTCTGAATTTCACGTCAAGATAAAGGGCAACTTGATTCCAGCTGCATTCTTCTAATTTTGTTTTTGTCTAAAACGTCCCTCGTTTTCGAACATTCCATTATTTCTTGTCCTTTATTCACCTCCCCTTGTCTGTGTCCCTAAATTTCTCTCTGCGTTTGATTCTGGGCTGTGGTCCTGCCATTGTTGTCTTTCCTTTGGTGCTAGTGTCAGAGGAGGCAAAGTTATTTTCAAAACTGAAATTGTTTTAAATGGTTTTAACACAGATGTTTTTCAAAAACGTCAAATTTGGAATGGGTAGTTGTTTATGCACATTTGAATCTTTTCGCATCAACTTTGAAATCAGCTTGTCTGATTACATGTTTTATATATGCCTAGTCATGGTACATTCAGGAGTACATGGCACGGAATCAGTCGAGAGGAAATTAGCTTATTTGTAATAGTGAGTTTTATCCAAGAAAGACATGCATATTTTCATTCAAATTTTATGCTCTTTTTAGATCACAGTTTCCATCATATAGATTGTATTTGCTTTTTCTTCTCCAGTTTTTTCTCCTTTTTGTTGCTGTCCTAAGTGGTGTTGCCTGTTCCATTGCAGTTTCTAACTTCTCTCTTGGAAGACTGTTGATTTTTGAATATTTTGCATTCAGCTATTTGATCTTGTGAAACAGCAAGGAATTTCTTTTCGAAGGGGATTTTCAGTTGCTTCTCTTGGCTGTTTTTTTCCCAGAGTTGAAATAATCACATTTGGAATGGCTAGATAGTATAGCAGGTGAGGCGCTTGCCTTGCACGGGGTCCACCCCGCACCCCTGAGGGTCCCCCCAGCGCCGCCAGGAGTGATCCCTGAGTGCAGAGCCAGGAGTATCCCCTGAGCATCGCTGGGTGTGGCCCAAAGAGAAAAGACAGACATTAGCTGGCAGTGAGAGTTGGTTCCTACTCTGTGTGTGTGTGTGTGTGTGTTTTCCTTGGTTCTGGTTGTGGGGCCTTTGGAGCGGGTACCCCACTAATGGGGGGGTATTCTCGTCCCTTTGCTGAAGGGAAGGGACTTTCTTCTTCCTTCCTGTGACTTGGTTCCTTTCCTTGTGCCCACAGCGAGGTGACGGCCCCTATGCCCTGGTGCTGGTGCCCACAAGAGAGGTAAGCGCTTTGGGGCGAGGGTCCAGCAGGCTTTCCACGGGGATAGCACGTGTGCCTCAGCTGCACACACACACACACACACACACACACACACACACACACATTCTCCCTTCATGTAGACAAATGAGGCTGCGTTTCTCTTTCAGAGGAGTTAAAGTCATTGCACTCATGTCCTTTCTGGTTTGGGTGTTACAGCAACTCAGAAAAAAATCCGTTTTAATATTGTAGGTTTCCCTAACGTTCTTTATCCCTTCTGCCCATTCTGTTCTTTTGGTTTTTGTTTTCAAGCTATTATATTTAAATTTCTTTTTCGGGGGGGGGTCACACCAGGCAATGCACAGGGGTTCCTCCTGGCTCTGCACTCAGGAATTACTCCTGGCAGTGCTCAGGGAACCATATGGGATGCTGGGAATCGAACCCGGGTCGGCCACATGCAAGGCAAACGCCCTACCCGCTGTACATTGCTCCAGCCCCTACCCAAAATTCTCTTGACTCCTAAAACATCTAAGCTTTGGGCTCACATTTGCCATCTGGGCGACGCCGCCTCCTGTCTGCCGTGCTTTGTTTGCCTGCCTGGGCAACGTTGGTCGGACCAGGCCGTCGGCGTCTGTCCGAGAGCAGGGGCCCCGCGGGGCCCGTCTGCAAAGAGCCGGGCATGCAAGCGCTCCCCAGGGCTCCCCACCATGGAGAAAGGGTCCAGAGCCTCCCCCCCCCACCCCCCGCTCCCTGCCCACTGCTGGGGGCCCGTCCTGCAGGCCACCTCTGCACACGCACTTCTCACTTGCCCTTCAGAGACCGCCCCCCCCCCCCCCCAGCCCTGCCTCTCTGCTCCCTCTTGGCGCTGCCCTGCTCCGTGGCGGGCACTCTGGGAATTCGAGCCAGCAGAGGGAGCACACAACACTCTTTTTGTAGACATCCAAGACGGAGACCTGGGATTTCTGCCCACAGCCCCTAACCAACAGGCTTCAGAATCAGTCCGAGAACCGAGGACAGTTTTCCAGCAGAGCTTGAGCAGATTTTTAAAAATATGGAAACATTAGATCCACATTTGGACCCTAAGCACTTATCTGAGAGTTTTCAGAATGAAAGGTAGCGAAGTTTGTGTCCATGGTCTGCCTCTTTGGTGTTTGCAGCTGGCTCTGCAGAGCTTTGACACTGTCCAGAAGCTGCTGAAGGTAAGGGGTGCCCTGAGCCGGCCCCGGGGAGTCAGGGAGTGTGCCCTGGGGGGGTCTGGGTAGGGCAAGGAGGGGGTGTGCCCTGAGCAGGGGGGGTGTGTTAGGGGATGCCCCCTGAGCTGGCGTCAGGGGAGGCAGCTGGGTACTCTTGGCTTGATCTCCGGCTTGGGGAGCAGAATTGAGCACTGCCTGCCCTGCTGTTGCTGGAGTGACGCTTCGTGACTCCCTTGACTCCCGGTGGCCTGTGCCCCCCCCCCCAACCCTCAGAAGCCACGGCCCTTCATCTGTCCATCATTGCTGCTAGCAGGCGCACACCCGGACCCACGGCTCAGTGCCGGGAAGGGCGGGTGGGAGAGCAGCAAATAGGGTGCACGCAGGAAGGATGGGACGGGAGAAAGCCCGCAGGCCCCACACGGGTCACGGGTGGGCGTCCCTTCTGCGGGGCGGGCCGTGGGCCGGGCACTGGGCTTCGGGCCTTAGGGAAGTGTGTTTCGGGTCGGGCTTCCCTGGGGAAGGTGGAGACGCTGCTGGGCTGTTTCCGGCTCAGTTTGTGTGTCCACCCTGCCCCGCCCTGGCACATTGGCAGGAGCTGTGGGGGGCTCGGGCTGTGAAGGGCCCCTGACTCCTGCTGTCTCCATAGCCGTTTACCTGGATCGTGCCCGGCGTGTTGATGGGTGGAGAGAAGAGGAAGTCGGAGAAGGCCAGGTAGGAGGTCGGCCCGCTAGGGGACAGCTCTGGGCTGGCATTGTGCTCTCGGGCCGTGCCGATGGTTCCCCCAGCGGCCACGTGTGAAGTTGGGGACAGGGGTGGCTGCAGAGAACCAGTCACACTCCCTGGGGTCCTGCGTGCCTCGCTGAGCCTCATTCCCTGGACACTGGCCCAGGGTGTCAGAAAAATGTTGGCTCAGAGTGTCTGCATTCTTATTTTTTTCATTTGTTTTGGAGTTTGGACCCACAGACTGTGCTCTGCTCCTGGCTCTGTGCTCAGGGATCTTCCTGGTAGGGCTTGGGGGCCTGTATGGTGCCAGGGATCGAGCCCGGGTTGACCGCATGCAGACCAACGGCCCTGCCTGCTGTTCTTCTCTTTGTCCCTTCCCGTTCTTTAAAAAAACACTTTCCTATTCCAGGTTAGTGCATGGTAGTCACGTCAAGTTGTATGTGATCTTCAACTGAGAAGTAAATGTTACATTTGAAGAAGCATTCATTCAAATTAGTTCCAGCTGTAAATGATTCCCACAGAAAACAGTGGCACAGAGAGTAAAAGAAACTTTGCTTTCGTGGTCCAGGGAGCCTGGCAGAAGTCCCTTCAGCTCCTCCCAGCTTCCTGCATCGCTCAGAGAGGCTCTGGTTCCTCACGGCCTCTGGGGCTCCAGCCAGTATGTCTAGTTCTGTCGGCAAGAAAATCCTCCCTCTAAAGGACTGGGATTGAATATTCCCTTTATCCACTCATCGTAGTGCTAGAACATGTCCAGACTTAATTACAAGAGAGCTCACAGACACACGCCAGTAAGATTTACTGTCAGGTGTGGTACAAACGGACAGAGGATTTGAAGGAAGTTAGATTCATTCTTCACAGTGTAGGGGGACAGCACAAAGCAAGATCCAGTATATACAAATTCAGTATAAGAAAAAAATCAGGGGCTGGAGCGATAGCACAGCGGGGAGGGCGTTTGCCTTGCATGCAGCGGACCCCAAGTTCAATCCCTGGCATCCCATATAGTCCCCAAGCACCGCCAGGAGTGATTCCTGAGTGCAGAGCCAGGAGTAACCCCTGTGCATCGCAGGGTGATCCCCACCCCCAAAAAAAATCAGTTTTTTTGAATGCATTGATCTGGGGTATGGCTCATTTAGAGAAGAAGTTCCCAGGCAAATAAAAACAGACTGTAAAATGACCATTCATCTAGAATGTTCCAGAGAGAATCTGAGGATTGAGAAAAAGTCATCGTGTTACATAGTTAAATTTTTCTCTCACAGTGAAGATTTTGTGCTTTTAATGAGATTTCGGGTCTTTAATGATCGGATCTGGGAGAGAGCCAGGCCAGGAGTTAAGGCTGTGCTGTCCCCGAGCCCTGCGCCCCTCGCCAGTGCTGAGTAGCCAGTGCCCCCGGGGAGGACGAGCACTGGACTCACTCACCCACTGGCCCCAAGTCCTGGTCTGACAGCGGCCTGGGTTGCTAGGCAGGTTGTCCTCTGGATTTTTCCCTGTTCCTCCTGGTACTGCTCACTTGATTTATTCCATTTTCTGATACGTAATTTTAACAGAATCCGCAAAGGGATAAATATCCTCATCTCCACTCCGGGGCGCCTGGTGGATCATATAAAATCCACAAAGAACATTCAGTTCAGCCGGCTGCGGTGGCTGATTCTGGATGAGGCTGACAGGTGAGCCAGAAGGGGCGGGGGGGGGGGGGGGGGGGGGGGACGGGGACGCTGAGGGGCAGGGTCCTAGCGCCTGCCGGCCTTCTGCCCCTTGCCTCCCTGACGCTGCCTCCCCAATCCGCAGAATCCTGGACATGGGCTTCGAAAAGGCCATCACGGTCATCCTCAACGCCCTGGATGCTGAGTGCCCAAAACGCCAGAATGTCTTGCTCTCAGCCACACTCTCCGAGGGTGAGCGGCAGGCAAAAAGGGGTGTCCCGGTGGGGATGCTGTCCTGCGGGGGGTTGTGTCCTGCTAGGGTTGGTGTTCCGCTGGGGACGGTGTCCGGTGGGGATGGTGTCCTGCTGGGGACAGTGAAACTTCCCTGAGAAGGAAGATGCTGAAACTGTGTAGACTGGACTGTCCTGTATCCCCAGCTGTCTCCTCCATCCCAGACTCTGCCACGTCCCTCTGGACAAGGGCCTCCCGGTGCTCATGCTGAGGTAGAAGGAAGCAGCAGGCAGCCACCGACCTGGCATCTTCCGGGGGGGGGGGGCAGGCCAGCTTTTCAGTTTGGGCCCTCTGGACTGGAACCCGCCCCTGCTCAGGCTCCTGGCCAGCGGGTTGGCCCCAGTGGGAATTGAGAGATGCTGGAGTGTGGCCAGGGTTGGAAATGGGCGTGTCCCCTGGGTGGACGGCGGGACAACTGCCCTGCACCGCGCCCGGGTGTGTGGGGGCATGACCAGCCACACATGGGTCACACCTCTGCCGTGTCCCTCCTGCCCCCAGCTGTGACCCGGCTGGCCGACATCAGCCTGCACGACCCGGTCAGTATTTCTGTGCTGGACGAGAGCCCCAGTTCGGACAGCTCAGATGACGACGATGACGATGATGACGACGATGATGATGACGACGACGACGATGACGACGATGACGAAGATTCGGAAGACTCCGGGTCACAGTCTGGCGACGAGCTGGACAGCTTCGTGCTGCCTGAGGGCCTGGAGCAGCACGTGGCCCTGGTGCCCAGCAAGCTGCGCCTGGTGTCCCTGGCGGCCTTCATCCTGCAGAAGTGCCGGGTAGGTCGCAGCTGTGCCAGGTGGCCCCGGCGGCCTTCCTCTGCAGCTCCTTGCCTGCCAGCCTGCATGCCCGCACCCGTCCAGCCCTCTCAGTCCGTGCTTCTGGGGTTGTCCTGGTGATGGCTGTGTCCTCCCTGCAGGAGTGTGCCTGCGGCGGCAAGCGGGCAGTGCGCGTGGGGTCAGGGTTGGGGGTGTGCACAGGGCCTCCCGAGAGGGACGTCTGGGCCTCTGGGCCCGGGGCGAGCCTCTGAGGGATTTTGTGTCTGCACATTTAGGCTCGGGGCGCGTGGGGAGAGATGGGGAAGGCCTGAAGGAGCTTCGGGGTTCGCTCCCTCGAGAGCTGGCCTGCGCCAGCCCTCCTGCCCCTGCTCCTCGCAGCCACCCTGCCGCCGGACCAGACACCCACTTTCCCGTCACCTGATCTCAAGCGCATCTCCGTGTGCCCGCTTTGTCCTGCAGTTTGAGAGCGACCAGAAGCTCATTGTCTTCCTCTCCAGCTGTGAGCTGGTCGAGTTCCACTACACGCTCTTCGCCCAGACCCTGCTGCGCAGCGCGGAGCTGGCCGCCCCGGGACAGCCACCATCTGCCCCTGCGCCGTTCAGATTCCTGCGGCTGCACGGGGGCATGGAGCAGGAGGTGAGGGGTGCCCGGCCGTGGCGGTGCCCACGCTGCCAGGTGGACGCGGGCTCTGGCCCTGGGCTGGTGTCTTCCACCTGAGGGCACGGGGCCCGCGTTTGGCCGGACTCTGCCTCGGCCAGCTGTTAAGGCAACAGAGTACCACCAAGTCGCTGGCACCGGGGAAGGCTTTTGCCTTTTTAGTACCCAGTGTGTAATTAGGGCTTGATGTCTTCAAATTAAGAGCATTAATGGAGCTAAATTGTGGATCCCATATGGTACTGCTGAGCTCGACGGCTGTCATTGTCAACAAGATGCAGCGCTCCGCTCTGGCGGGAGGGGGAAGGGTGCTGCAGGCCGCAGAGGGCCCGGCCAAGCAGGGGGCGCGGGCCACCCGCCCTCCACTCTGGAGACCAGGCAGAGCGTTCCAGGAGTTGGGCCGCGGAGGGGCTACCTTGTCCTCGGGGAGCAGCGGCCAGGTCCGGGGGCAGGAGTAGAGAAGGTCGCCCAGATCGGCGGAACGCAGTTAGCTCGGGCTCCTTCCCGTCGAAGGGGATGGAAATACGGGTTTGGTGGAGTGCCCTTCTCAAGGTCACGCAGGGACACAGGTGCTTAACCCCCGGGTTTCAGGTTTCTCCGCGGCCGGTAGGGGACCTCAGGGCTCTGCTTGCTGATGTGGGTGCCCCGCTGACACTTCCCTGCCTGGGGGGCTGTAGAGGTGCTGGGCATCTCCCAGCTGGGGTGTCCTGGCAGGGTCTGTTGTCTCTCCGGGGCAGCTGCGTCCATGCAGAGGCCACGCCCCCTCTGTCAGGGATGCTGTCCAGGTGAGGGGCCGTGGACCCTGCTGAGCTCTGGGTGGGCGCATTCTTGGGGCCCAGGGCCATTGTGCTGGATTGGTTCACCCCATAACCCCTTCCACCCGGGGGCAGAGCTGGGAGGGCCCCTTGCCCGTGCTGGTAGTAGGTGATGTGTCTGGTCCCAGACAGGTGGGGGCGCACCACCGCGCAACGTGACCTGGGTTCAGGCTCCGAGGCTCTGAGGCTAAGGATCTGAGCGCGCCCTGTGCTTGGGGTTTGGGGATCGTGTCCGATTTGGAGCCAGTGATGAAGCCCTGAGCGCCAGCCCACAGCTCCCCTGCTCAGCCCTAGCCCCTCCCTGGCGCCAGTCACACCCCGCGGGGCAATGGCCATGCCTGCTGAGGGCTGGCATGGGGACCCCATCAGCATCATTCTCCAGGCCGGCCAGTGCAGGTGGCATGTTGCTGCCCAGGGTCCGGAAATGCTAGACCCACCGGGCATAGCGGGGGCTGCCCTGGGCCTGGTCAGGAGCCGAGGGGCAGCTCCAGCCACAGTCCCTCGAGGGCTGGGTTGAGCCTGCCCGGGCCTGAAGGAGTCCCGGGGCCATCCGAGTTGTGCTCCTATAGCTATGTTCTCTCCAGCCCCGTGGAAGGTTCTAGATTGTGTGGCAGCAGCTGGGCAGACGCCAGGATTCTGCCTGAGGGGATGTCCATGCTGGGCAGTGGGAGGTGCCCTTGGCCTCATGAGCGCCGGAAGTCTTGACAGCCAGCTCAGCCTCTGTTGGCATCACAGGGTTGGTCTGGGCCACAGCAGTGGGGCCCGGCGTGTCCTGGGGGAGCTGGAGGCCCACCCTGAGGGACTGAGCCACTGCAGACAGGTCCCAAACCATGGTCCTTACTGGGTTTTTAATTGAAGAAATAGAGTTTGGGGGCTGGACAGTAGCACAGTGGATAGAGCATTCATCTGCCTCACGCCCACCCAGGTTTGTCACTGCCCTCCCCTAGGAGTCAGCCCTGCGCATCCCCGGGAGTGGCCCCGTAAACAGACATCCAATGTCAGCCGCTCTGCAGGGGAGCAGCTGCTGCTTCTCATGCGTTTCTGCGGGTGGGGGCTCCTGGGGTCAGCCTGAGCAGGGTGCCCGCATGTCGGGACCGCCTTGCCCAGGTGTACGGGGTGTGCTGCCCCCTCTCTGGGCAGCTCCTGCTCCGACAGCAACTTTGGGGGGGGGCGCCGGGTTCTCAGGCTCTCTCTCCCTGTTGCAGGAGAGGACGGCGGTGTTCCATGAGTTCTCGCGCTCCAGAAGCGGCGTTCTCTTCTGCACGGTACGTGTCACCTGGTGCCCACGAGGGAGGCTGTGTGGGGAGGTGGTGCTAGTGAGTCCGCTGGAGACCAGGCCGTGCTGCTGAGAGCCGCGCGAGGGGGCGACTCACTCGGTAACGGTGGCAGCTGTTGGGCTGAAGTCGTGAGAATCTCGGGGCACCCCGGTCCTGTGGTCACAACTGTCGGGAGTGTCCGAGCGGGAAAGCCCTTCCGGCTGGGTCCCCATGTCCCTCTGCTCCCTTTCCCGCACTCTCCTGGCCCCAGTCTGTTTCAGGGGCGTTCCTCTGCCCAGTGTGGCATTGGTCTCTGCCGCTGGTCTCTGGCCTCTTCCCGAGACTGGGGGTCCCGACAGCTGTGACTTTCTCCGAGTGTGTGTTGGGCAGGATGGCTTATAACGGCCAACAGGTGGGGCTGGGCAGACAGACATTCATGACTTGGTGGGGTGGGAGCCCCCCCCGCCTCACCCCCCCGTCCCGTGCTCAGGGATCGCTCCTGGTGGGGTGCCCCCAATGGACCTAGGCCGGCTGCGTGCAAGGGAAGTACCCTCCCTGCTGTACTCTCCCCGGCCCTTAATGCAGTAATTGTATTTGTTTGGTTTGGGGATCCCCCTGGTGGGCTGAGGATTTGCTTCTGGCTCTGCACTCGGGGGTCTTTCCACTCGGGGCTCCCTGCGATACTGTCCCAGGCAAGCATCCTGTGCGGCGCTGTCCCCGGCCCCAGTGTCATCCAGTTTTAAAGAACTCCTGCTGTGTTCAGTTTATGGAGGAGCGAAGACATGTCCCGGCCCAGACTCCCCGTGTCTGAGCAGGCGCGGCTTCATTCCGGGCGGCCTCTCCGCCCGCTCCCTTGCCCATCACTGTGAAAATGTCACAGGGCTCTGGGTACTCGCTTTGGGGCGCTCACCTGTAGGAGCGCACCAGGCAACCCGTCCCCTCAGCAGCCAGCTGTGCCAGATGTTCGGCTCAGCTCCGAGGCTGGCTGAGGGCCTGGGCCAGGGCCGGGAAGCAGGTCCTCAGTCACAGGCGTCCCGGGGCTGGAGAGGCCTGCGGCGACCCCAGTTCCATCCCTGGGCGCTGCTGGGGCGGCCCACCCTGCTCCCTGCTTCCCTGACCATCTCCCCTCCCTGCTGCCGTGTGGACCTGGGGGGCGTCCTTCTGTCGTTGACCCCGGGGCCTCCCTCCGTGCGCTGAGGCTGTGCCCTCGCTACACCCCTGGCCGTCCAGCCCTGAAGATGCGCAACTGGGTTTCGCTGGTTCCCGGGGTGTCTGGGCGGGAGCTGCTCCCCAGGAAATCAGGCCGGGAAACACCTGCCTCCAGGCGTCCCCCAAGTGACTGGCTGCGATGGGAGGGGGTGTACGGGGCTTGCGCCTCCCCAGGCGCGTGCGCTGAGGGTGCCGGAGCAGAGCCTGTGCGTCTGTCCAGGCTCCCGGCAGCAGGTCTCGACTCTCCCGCCTGAACTGGGGTTCCCAGCGGGGTGCAGAGCAGAGGGGGCTGCGTCCCGAGCGGGAAGGGCACTGTGGGCGTGGCAGCTGGACCAAGGGCAGCACTGCCCTCTGGCCGCCCTGGCCCCACCGTTCCAGAACCCCGTGGTGTGTGTCCACTTGCTGGGCCGGCTGAGGCTGTGACCCCCTCTTCGGTCTCTTCTGGCATGCTGTTCCCTGGCCCCTTCCCCTCCGCCTATTTGTCTGCTCTCACTGGGGCTGCGGGGCACCGCCCTGCCGCGTGGGCACTTCGTGGCATGCTCAGGAGCCTGGCGGCCTTGGCGGGACAGGGCCTTCGTCAGGACAGGCTGGAGGACTCCGGGCTTCTGCTGCAGAGGGGGCCGTGCCGGTCGCGGTGCCACGCTGACCCTCTGTCCCTTCCTGTGTCATCAGAAGGCCTTTAACAACCTAGAAAATGGAAGAGTTGGGCATTGGGCAGGACGGCACACGACCCACTGTTTCTCCTGGACACCCTCCCACACCCCAGCTGCCTCCCATGCCATACACATGCACACACGCACACATATACACATTCGCACACGCACACAAGCACACACACACACACACACACACACACACACACACTCCTCTGTCAGGTGCAACAGTTGAGGATTGAGGGTGTGTGTCCCCAGACCAAAGCCCCTGCTCATCCCACTCTCGTCCCACAGTCTCACGGGCACGGAGCCTTGTGTGCGAGGGCTGGTCTCGGGACCAGGGCTCTGGGTGGGCTCTGGGGTGAATTCACCGGGAGAGCAGGCAGTGAGTGAGTCGTGAGTATGTGCCCTCTGCATCGGCGATTCTCGGTGGGGCCTCTGGGCCTCTGGGTATTGCACGGGGCCTGGGCTGACGAGCGCATGAGGGGAGGGTATGCAGTGGGAGAGTTGGGGACCAGCCAGCAGGATGGGGCTAGGGGTGCAAGGGCAGGAATCAGTGTCAGAGAGGCCGGGAAGCACTGCTTGGGGGTGTCGCTCTGGCCAGAATCCGGGTCCTGGGCAACTCCGGGCCTTCTTCCCCCTGGAATCCAGAGCCTGGGGTCAGGAGAGATGGGACCGGCTGCAGCCACGTCCTGCGGGCTGCCCAGTGCTCCGAGCCATCCTGGGCTGGCAGCTTGTAGTCCGCTGCTCTCGGGAAATCAGAGGAGCTCCGGGCTGCCCTGCGGCTGCATCTCAGAGTCTGTCCTTGCTGGAAGCGTGGGGTCAGGTCTGCACCGTTGGCGTCCTCCTGGGGGCATGCGGGCCGGCCCACCCCAGAGCAGGCCGGCCTTCCCCCATTCCTCGGGGTGCTTCTCTCGAGAACTTTCCTCTCCTCCACTGTCTCTTTGTGCCTTGGCGGGGCTGTCTGCGGTGCTGGCTGCTGGCGCGGTCACGCCAACTCGTGTTGCCAGCTCTCGGCGGCTCCAGCCAAGCGCTCGCCTCTGACAGCGTCTGCGCCCGCTCCTTCTCCTCTGATTACGCAGTCCAATCTGTCACCCGGACAACGGGGGCCCGTACCCTGCTGCTGGCTTTCCACACACAGCAATAATGACTCTTGGCAGGCCGGGAAGGCGGCCGAGGCGGCTCTGCGCGTGTCCGGCCCCCAGAGCAGGCGGCCCCCACCCCCCGTTAGTAAAAGCACTTTGTGAGGTTCTTGGGTAAATAAATGAGTCATTTTAATCCAACTGACAGGCTGGCACCTGAGCAAGCTGCCTTCCATCTGCACTCCTTGGGCTCACGGAGGCGTCCGATTGTCAGGCCCGGCTCCAGGCTCACCCCGGAGTGTCTTTGAGAACTGACTCGAGCCATTCTTCTGCCCTAATTAGGTGGAAGGAGCACAGGGGGGCGGGCAGGGAGCAGCCTCTGCCCGGCAGGCCTCTGCTGCCCCTGCTCCTCACCTTTCAGGGCGGGACGCCCCCACGCACACGCTCCTTGGGGTCCTCTGCCCAGCCCCCGGACCCCCACTCCTGACTCCTCGAGATGCCGAAGCACTGAGAAGCTTCAGGCTCTGTTCCTGTGGTGGCCCGCGGCCTGGTGGGCCCATGGGCCCACTGCACAGCTCCCAGCCCTCTGTAGGTAAACTGAGGCCCAAGAGCGGAGCCCATGGGCCTGGGGGGTGAGGCTAAAGCCAGCTGCTGAGTCCAGAAACCTTCTCGGGGACGCGGGGTCCGTGTCCTGGCGTGTCCTCCACGGGGAGCCCCTCGGTCCCCTCCGACTCGGTGACTTGCCCGCCTGGCACACACTGGCCGAGTTAGCTGGTTCCTTGGGAGAGCAAGCACCAAAGTTTCCAGAGCTTTCTGCGGGTGCAGGGGGCATTTGCTCCCACACAGCTCCTCCAGAAGCACTCTCTTAGGGGACGTGAGGCCCCGCTGCTCCGAGCCCCAGTCCTCAGCACATGGGATGCACGTGCTAACGCCCACCCCGCCTGCGCCCCACCCCGGTCCTGGCGCCAGACCCTGGAAACTCAGGCCCCGGCCCATGTGCTCAGTGCAGAAACCGCAGAACTGTGAGTCTCCCTTTTGGGGTTTGGGGTCACGCCTGACGGTGCTCAGGGCTTTCTTCTGACTCTGCGCTCAGCGGTCTCTCATGGGGGCTTGGGGGCCCCTATGGGCTGGTGGGCATCAGGCCCAGTCGGCTCTTGCACTGTCAGGACTTTTCAAATCGGCTTCATCCCGGGAAGCCCTTACCGATGTATCCTTAGGGACTCGCCCTCCCTTCGGTGGGACGGAGCTGCACCCTCAGCCCCCCACCCCCCACCCCGTCTCTTCTCTGGGAATGGGCTGCTCCTTTCTTGAACTGCACCACCGACACACATGCTTGTGGGGCTGCACCCGCCACGGCGGACACAGGCCGTTAAGAGTCACGCCGTGCCAGAAGCACACGTGGCGCTGAGGTGGGCGGGACCACGGGGCTGCGGGCGCCATGCTGAGCCGGCCAGGGGCAGCCTCTGCCCTGTGAGGCCACACGCGGCAGTGCTCGGGGCTGCTCCCGGTGGCACTCGGGGGCCCTGTGGCGAGCACCTTACCCACTGCCTTACCTCGGTCCCTGAGTGCTCAGGGGTCTGGGGAGCACTGGCGGTGCTCAGGGCTTTGTCCTGGCGCTGAGCTTGGGGATCAGTCCTGCAGGCTCTACGGGACCATATGAGGCCTGGGGTCAGAACCAGTCGGCTGCGTGCAGGGCAGGCGCCCTAGCCCCAGTGACCTCCATCCCTGGGCACTCTTGCTGCCTGAGGAAGTCTGGGCGCTGCGGCCCACGCGCAGCGGCCATGGGGGCTGGACTCGGGGTGGCTGCTGTGGTGCCCGTCCCCTGGACAGAGCCGGTGGTGGCCAGCTCCTGGGAACCAGGTCCCTCACCCCCCTCTGGCTCCACCCGATTCTGACCAGGAGGAAACAGACAAATTCAGGCTCGGGAAGTTCCTCCAGATACTTGGACTTTTCCAAATTGGTAGTCGCCCTGAAGCTCGGTAAGTCTGAACAGGGCAGGGCCACAGGGTGGGGGCCGGGGCAGCCCAGGGACGGGAGCAGCAGGACCCGTCCACATGAGCGCCGTGTGACTGCAGGAGGCTGGACTTTCCCGGCCACCGGCCAGTGATGTTCTTCCACGGTCGGTTTCTTCGGTGTGGTTGTGGTATGATTCTGTAGAAGGTCTTTTGGCTCCGAGGTAGGTGCCCACGTGTCTCGGGAAGCGTCATCTTTGCAGAGCGTGGGGGATGCCCCACTGCAGCTTCCTGAGCTCTGTTCGCTCGAGCCGAGTCACGGTTAGGCACAGAGAAAGCGTCGTGCCTGCCAGCCCTCTGCCCGTCAAGGGCACCACCGCCTGCCTTTTCGGCTCCCTGTCCCGCTTCTCCTCCATCCCTGTCCTTCGGACCTCCACTTGGTGTCCTTTTGTGTGGATTTCCTCCTCGGATGGGACTTTCCTGGTGGCGGGTCCTTCGTCCTGCCCCTGGGTGGTGGTGGACCATGCCTCTCTCCCTGGGCTCCTGGTTCTCTGTTGGTAAAAGTGGAGCCCTGGGTGAGTCCGGGTCTGGGGTGTCATGGGGGCCTGCAGTACTCATCTTATGGGCTTGAGGCCTCTGGTTCAGCGTCCAGTCACAGAATAAAGCAGCTGTTTCAAGGGTCAGAGCTGCTGTCCAGTGGGGAGGGCGTTTGCCTTGTACGCAGCCAACCCAGGTTCGATCCCGGCACCCCATGTGGTCCCCCGAGCACTGCCGGGGGTGATCCCTGAGTGCAGAGCCAGGAGTCAGCCCTGAGCATCGCAGGTACTGCCCCAGAGAGCAGACTGACAGCTGGAAGTGGCTGCTGCTTTGGCCCTGTCCCAGTCCTTAGGCCACAGTCGGATGCCAAGGGCCAGAGTGGTGGTGAGGGGCGCCCGGGTCTGCGCCAGGGCCGTGCCCACCCTCCCGGAGTCAGGCTGGTATTTGAGCGTCTCCCGTCCTGGCACAGAGACCACTTGTTGGTGTGGGCGCACCGGGTGTGGCCTGCTCTGGGGGGGCCTTGTCCCTGGGCCTCCTGCTGGCCTTGGGCTCCTGTCCAGCCTGGAGGCCTGGTGCCATCCAAGGCCCGTGCGTTGGGCTTGTGCTTTAGGCTTTTCTCGGGGGAACCAGCGGAGTCCCTGAGGTGCAACCTGGTGCTGGGGTGGGCCAGGCCTGTTTCTGTCGCTGACCCCTCCTCTGTCTCTGGGGTGGAGTTCCAGAAGTCAGGCTGCTCTGGCCAGGGGCAGATGCCCCAGACTCCCTGCGGCCCCCAGCATTGTGGGGGAGGGGTTGCAGTGTGGCATAACGGGGCTGGGAAGGAGAGCGGCCCAGGGGCCTCTTCCTGGGCGCGCGCTGGCGCGTCTCCCTTCAGCTGGTGTGAGATGTCTGCTCTCGGCACCCCCAGGCAGGCGCAGGTGAATGCCCGCACGCTGCTCGCTGTCTGGTGTCTATTAGGTGCTCAGCAAACGTTCCCAGGGCCGTTCTCGGCATGACTGTTAAGGTTGAAGGTCAAGGGCAGTGTTGCGGCTGATGCCTGGGATGTTCTAGTCTCTCTGGAGCGGCAGGCTGACGCAGGCGGCCCTGATCACATGCCTACACGAGCCATGGGGCTCCTGGGTTCCGTCTTTCGAGTCCGTTCTGGGTCTGGGTCTGTGTGAGGAGGTGCGTGACTCGCCGGGTCCATGGCTGGCCTTAGGAAGTACGCCCAGCCGTGACTGTCAGGGTCCCGTGTGGGCCCGGCGGACGCACAGGCCACCACAGGTGCTCTCAGCACAGTGCTCGCTCCCCTCGCCGTGCCCCTTCGGCGGCTGCCACAGAATGTGCCCCTGAGTCTGCGGGATGAGCCTCACAAGCTCCCTGAAGTGCGTGTGCGTGCCTGTGTGAGGGAGTGGGAGCCCGGGGGTGAGGGACTGTGAGTGCAGCTGGGAGTATGGGTGGGAGTGGGGGGTCTGTGAGAGAATGTGAGTGCAGGTATGAGGGGCGTCATGAGGAAGTGTGAGCACAGGTAGGGGTTGTGAGGGAGTGAGGGGGTGAGTGAGGGGGTGGGGGGGTTTGTGCGGGAGTGAGCGGGTGTGAGGAGTGAGTGCTGAGGAGAGCAGTTGCTGAGGGCACTGGGCGTCCCCTGGGTTTGTGGGCTGCCAGCGGTGGGAAGCTCAGTCCTAAGTGCTCGTCTCTTCTCTTCTGTTTTGAAGGATATTGCAGCTCGGGGCCTCGACCTGCCTCAAGTCACATGGATCATTCAGGTAACTTCCCTGTCACCGCGCCAGGCTCGAGGCAGCAGTGTGGTGATCTATTCTTCCTGTCGTCCGGGGTCAGCCCGGGTCCCGCAGGCCAATGCAGTGTCCGCGGTGACCCGAGAGTCCCGTCCGGGCAGCAGCTGGCAAGGGCCTCATGTTTGCCCACGGGCCTCTGCTTCCAGGCCCTTCGCCCTCACTTACCGCGGAAGGGTGTCTTGGAGCAAAGGGGCCGGGGTCCCGCGCCGTGTCCTTGGGGTGTTTCCGTGGATGGCCAGGCCTGAGCCTGCGCACCTGCCCAGGGCGCTCGCCGGGACGGGACCTGCCGAAGGGGAAACTGAGGCCTGCGCGGCCCCTTTGAGCCCCTCCTGTGGCTGCCTTACCGCCCGGTCACTCCCCTGGGCCTCGCAGCTCAGCCTGGCTGTGCCCGTGGGGGCTGCCGGCTCTGGGCTCATCCTGGGACGGGACGCCGTGTCCTTGCTCCAGGGCTAGGCCCTGAGCCACCCCTCCCAGTCCGGGGATGGCCAAGCCCAAGGTCACAGGCTGGCCACCCCCTTCCTCTGCACCTGATGCCTCTCCTGGTGAAAAGATGTGAACCAGATGCTGCAGAGGCCGGAGAGGGGGGCATTCCGGGTGCGAGGGGCTCGCTCTTGAGTAGAGGCGACCCTTGACCTCGGACCCTCTCCCCGCAGTACAACGCCCCGTCGTCGGCTGCCGAGTACGTGCACCGGGTTGGGAGGACGGCCCGGATCGGCTGCCGAGGGAGCAGCCTGCTCGTCCTGGCGCCTTCGGAGGCAGAGTATGTCGGCTCGCTGGCTGCCCACGGCATCAAGTGAGTCAGGCGGACGGGCGACATCGCCCCTAATTAGCTCTCTGTCTCTCTTTGCGTTCCCGGGGCTGGGCCTGGGTGCGCTAACGAAGAGCCGTTAACCCTCCTGATCCCTGGACGGCCCCCCAACAGCCCACGGCAAGAGCAGGCGTCTGCCTGCCCATCCTGTGCCCAGAGCCCTGCAGGCGCGAGGTGCTGGTGCCGCTGCTTGGCTCGCCCTGTGCACAGCCTCCAGGGGCTTGCACCCTGCACCCTTGGGTGCGCCTGCGTTCCCGTGGGTCGGGGCCCGCACTCCTGGGCTGCAGTCACATCCACTCAGGCCCTGGGGCCTGACCCACCTGCATGGGGCCCTGGAGCCCGCTGAGCCCCAGGCTGTGTTCTGGGCGCTTCCCTGCCGGAGAGCAAGTGTCGGTTGCTCCCGACCCCACTCCCCGCCCTCCTCGGCGTTCCTGGCCTGCCCTTCCCGGCACGTTCAGCAGGTGACTTGGAGGACAGGACTTATAGCAAGTTCTGAGGGCATCAGGATGGGGAGACGGGAAGGAGGAGGCGCGGTCACTGGCAGGAGGGAAGGGGTTTTAGCCGGGCAGCGAGGACAGGATGTGGCCCCCTGTGGGTGGGGGGTTCAGGACTTGACACCGCTGGCCCAGGCTCGTCCCCAGTCCCCTGCATCCCTGTCCTCAGCACCGCCAAGTGTGAACCCAAAACCAGACAACCCTGGGTGAGTAAGTGGTGCATTTGCGGAAGCGAGGGGGCCCTGCCTGGCGGAGGAGGCAGGCTCGGGTTCCAGGCGCCCCTGAGCGAGAGTGCCGGCTGCTGGTCTGCCGGGCTCTGCCCGTGGTTCTGGAGGGAGCTGGCCGCAGTCTCTGGCCTCTTGTCCCCCTGCGCGGGGTCTTCTCCCTCCCGAGGTGCCACACAAATCAGCAACAGCTCCTTGGCACAGGTGCCGCCCCGTCTGCACTGCTCAGCGCTGGCGTCAGTCCCTGGGCCTGTCCCCCTGTGCTGTCCTCGGGAGGGAGGGGCCTTCCCGCGGCCTTTCCCCCAAAGGATCCCTTGCAGCCGGCTCTAGGCCAGAGGCTGTTTGGCCACCACCACCCCCCCCCCCGCCAGCCCCCATGTCCCCTTTAGAAGCCGGCGCACAGTTGCACCGGGGCCTCCAGGGTAGCCTGGGACACCCGAATGTCAGGCTGGAGGAGTTGGGGCCGCAGGCAGATGGAAGGGCGCTCTGGGTGGGGGGCAGCCGGGTGACTGGACAGGGATGCTGAGGCCACTCCGTGAGGGCTGGACAGAAGGTGACATGACAGTGGTTCTCAAGGGTGGGGCCCATGGCCACTGCCCTGTCAGGACCCCCCCTCCCCCTAGCTAACTGGCCCAGTCAGGGTTGCTGCGAGGGACCGTGACCCCGCGGTCCGTCTGGGGCCATCACGGCGCTGAGCCTGGCCGTGCCCTTTGCTCCCGCAGCCTCTCAGAGATGAAGGTGGAGGACATGCTGGCCGTGCTGATGCGAGATGACTGCCTGCAGGCCACGCGCTGGGGGGACCAGGTGAGCCACGGGGGTGTGACGCGGTGTCCCGCGGGTGCTGGGGAGACCAGGTGAGCCATGGGGATGCTGACCGGGGGTCCCGCTGCCTCTCCTGCTCGGGCGGCCTCCTCTGTATGTTGGCCATGCGGCGGTTCCGAGGCCTGGACAGTGGAGCTAAGGGGGCAGAGGAGGCAGTGGGGATCGGCCGGGGAGCTGCGGCCTGGCCTGGGTCTCCGCGTGTGTGCAGGGCCCTACCTACCACTGCTGTCACACACTGGGCCCGGGAGCTTCTCGCACCGCCTGCCTTGGGCTCGTCCCAGCCGGCCCGTTGGTTGCACTGAAAGCGCTGGTTGTCCGCACCTTTCCCGTGAAGCCGGTGCCAGCACCCAGTAAGTGAAGACGCCCTTGGCTTGGCGTCTTCCATGAAACACTGCGAGTCCAGCCCCAGGGCAGTGTGTGGACAGTGGGGTGGACGGTGAGGTGTCCAGCTGGGCCGCAGTGGGTGTGTTTATTCCTGTGCTTGGGCGTCACTCCAGGTGGGCTCAGGACCCCACGGGGTGCTGTGGCTTGAACCCGGATTGGCTGTGTGCAAGGCGGATGCTATCTCTGCCCTCCCGTTCCTCTGGCCTGGGGACCGTGTGGGAAGGGTCAGTCAGGCCTGGGGCCGTTTCCTGGCTCCCTGTGGAGGGCGGCCCTGGGCCTGCCTCAACCGTGGTGTCTCGCATACAGTTGGGGTCATGGTTCCGAAGCCCCGGCCAGCCCCTGCCCTGAACCCGAGTTGCTGTGCCGAGACAGGCCTGGGGCGGGCGGGTGGGCGCAGGGCAGCTGCAGTGCCCTCTCGGCTGGCCCCTGGCCAGGTGCAGCTCCGTCTTTGCCATGGTGTCACCCACACTCTCCTCTCTACCTCTCCGGCTGTAGACGGTGAAGGTCAGCTGCAAGGCAGGAAGCCCCTGCCCCTCAGGCCCAGGCCGGTCGCAGCTCAGGCGCAGGGCCCCGGGCGTGGATGTGCCCAGCATGGATGGCGGCCCCTGTGCTTTAACAGAGGAAAACGCGAATGAGCAAGTAGGGCTTTTACGAACGCTCAGTTGGTTAACTTCGAGCGATAAATTGATGTTACTGGGTTCAAAGTGTCACTGGGGCTGGAGCAGTAGCACAGCAGGGAGGGCGTCTGCCTTGCCCTCGGCCAAGCAGGTTTCTTCCCCGGCATCCCATATAGTCTCCCGAGCACCAGCAGGAGTAAGTCCCTGAGTGCAGAGCCAGGAGTACACCTGAGCATCTCTGAGTATGACCTAAAAAGAAAAAAAAAGAAAACCAGAGTTTCATGTTGATTTCAAATTAAAAAGAACTGGGGAGCCGGGGCTGAGCCCGGAGTAAGCCCCTGAGCACTGCCGGGCAGGACCCAAAAAGCCATAAATAAATACGTAAAAATTTTAAAAGACATTTTGGACCGCATTTAACTTTCAACTCCAAGGTCCGAGAGAAACTGACTTGATGTTGCTGCTAGTTTGGACGTGGCCGGGCTCCTGCGAGTGTGGCCTGTCCCGGGCCCCTTCCTGCTCGCGGGGAGCCCTCTCCCGCTCAGCCGCCCTGCACGGTCCAGGGGTCCTGCTGGCAGCACAGAGCGTGAGCAGGACCGGGAGGCATCTGTGAAATGTATATTTCATATTTAGGGCCATGAAATATACATGCCTGCGGCTGGGTCTCTGAGTCTTCACCTCCTACAAAGAGAATAAATTTGATCTTTCAACTTGGCTGGGAAGCTCTCGCAAGGTTCAAGGGACCACGAGGGCGAAACCAGCTTGGCAGTCGAGTGATTAAAACAGAATCCTTCGTTTAGATGGAAAACACCTTGAAGGTTGGGACTGTCGAGACACGGGCTTAGACACGGCCCTCCCCGGCCCCGCCGAGTTCAGACTCTCCCGGGCTGGTGTTCGTCTGCTGCTCTCCGGGAGTGGAGGCCCGGAGCTGCTTGAGTCTCTGTCCCGTGGCGCCAGCCTGGGGCCTGCTCGGCCTCTGCCAGCTCCCTCAGCACGCGTGGCCCTGCCCCCGAGGCGCCAGCCGGCGGGGGCTCTCCCCTACAACCTGAGACCTGCTGGCTGCCCACCTCGTTAGCGGGGACTGAGGCCGGCCTGTGGCGTTGGTGGGCTGTAAGTCGAGGCTGGCCCCCACCAGACACAGGACCACCACCTCGCTCTCCAGAGGGGCGGTTTCTGAGTGAGGTGGGGGAGGGGCGCGGCGGAGGCCCCTCCTGATCGCGTTTCCTGCGCCCAGGTTGTTCCTTCCCTCCGTTCTGCTGGACCCGACCTCCTCGCTTCCTCGTCGGGAGCCGGGCGCCGGCAAGCCTCGCCTCGCTCCACACCCCGCGCTCGCTCGCTCCCGTGGTGTGTGTGTATGTGGAGGGTTTTTTTGGCTTGGCTGGGAAGAAAAGATACCTCATTTGAAACCTAAAGGGGGGCCTAAGAAAAGCCCTTTGTAATATATTGCCATATTATCACTAAATCCCCTGACAGCCGTGACACAGAAGCAAGTCACCTGTCACTTAAGCTTGAGGTCTCTTTAATTTTCTCCTGGAATTCGCACCAGGCTGTCTTTAATTTGAGGCCTTTATTGGAATTCTGAAACCTCTCTGCCTCCCTGGCTCTCAGATCTATTCTGAGAGCTGTTACAGAATGTATACAATAACCAACAGAGGGATTCGAGGGGCTGGAGCTGTGTTTACTTAACACTCCAGAGGGGATTCTTGTGCTTACTCGGTCCTGGCTGCCCGGCTTTCAATATCGCTTTGACAACCATTCTGCCCTTCTCATTAATTTTAAACAGTTAAAACACAGGAAAAAGAGGAAAAAGTTTTCATTATTAAAGTGCTTTACTTTTTAATAACAGAGGATTCTGTCCGCCAGGGGAAAAGGGCACCCTCGCTAATTTCACATTCATATTAAAAAAAAAAAACCGCGCCGGCGAGGACGGTGACAGTCGCCTGCCGAGGTGGCTTAGCGAAAGGAGGGCAGCGGGGAAGTTTGCATGGCATGCCAGTTATGACGGGGGGACGAAGGGAGCCTGGTCTGCGAGTCGGAAGTGTCCACGCAGGACACGGCTCCCGCCTGCCTCCACCCTGGTCGTTTGCGCGGGGTCCAGGGAAATCGGCCGGACTCCCTAACGGCAGAAATGATGTGACTAAGCCCGGGACGGGGCTGCGTGGCAGCTGCCCCCAGACAAGAGCTGCTGCTCCCAAGCTCTTTGTTCTCCCATGCCCCCCCCCCACCTCACCCCCACGGGGCCACTGGGGTGGGCTGGTGCTGCGTGTCCAGGTCACACCGTGTGCAGGGGCTGTGGGCACCGCCACGTTCCTGCCTATTGAAACAGGGCCGAGGGACCGTCTAGTGCCCAGTCTAGCGCCCAGCGGTGCTCCTGGGCCACTGTGCCCCACCCCCGGGTCCTGCCAGGCTCCTGCCCCAGGGCCTCCCGGGACCTAGAGGACTGAGGGGGCCTGGGGCGGGGTGGGGGCCGGAGCAGGGCTGAGGCCTGAGCAGACTCACTCGGAAATGGCTTACGATCGGGCACCTTAAATACCTGCATTGGGCTCGGAAAATTCCGGTGTCCCGATGGTCTTTCATTTTGAGCAGGACTGCGGAGGCCGGGCAGAGGTGAGTAAATACAGACGCCGAGCTGCCGCGCACAAAGCTGTCGGCATCTTTGCGCGACTTTAGCGTCTTGCCGCCCCTTCGCTTCCCTGTAATATTGAGAGGATTACCCTCGTCGGCCCCTCGGTGGCTCCTGTGTGGTTTTACTGTTATTAAATCTATTAGAAACTGCTTCATTATTCCTGACTCTGTCTCTCCCCTCTAATCCTTCCGCCCCCCGCCAGCACCCCCGTGCCCCGGGCCCCCAGGAAGTCCAGGCACGAGCCACAGTCCTGCAGACGGTGTTCGAGGATTACGTGCACGCCGACGAGCAGAGGGTCTCCTGGGCAAAGCAAGGTGGGTGGACTGCGCAGCCGCTGGGGTGGGTGCCCAGGGTGGCAGCCCCGCCCCGGAGCGTCTGCCCCAGCCAGAGCCTCGAGGCCCACCCTGCAGGGCTGGAACAGGGCACAGAAGGCTTGAAGGCAGAATTAGCTGTTAATTTCGTCCTCCCCGCGTCTTGCACCAATGAGGCTTTATCTTGGCTTATTCCCGGGCTCGAGCCCTGGGATCTTAGGGATGTGTCTCTCCCTACCTTGGAAAAGCGGAGAGGAGAGACGGGGCGGGGGCCGGGAAGGGGTGGGGCAGGGCTGGGCAAACCTGCAGAGGAGGAAGCTCTTAGGGGCACCAGTTCAGGGCCCAGGGCTGGGCAGGTGTCGGGTCAGGCCCAGCCCTGGCTGCCTCCGTGGGGACGGCACAGGAGGGTCGGCCCTTTGGTCCAGTGGCCCAGCAGGAGCCCAAGCACCAGTGCCCACTGGCTCCTCGCTCTAGGCCTTCCCAGGGCGACACTGACCACAGGCCTGGGCCGGGCCATGCCCAGGGAGGTGGGCCAGCAGGAAGCGCTTCAGGGAAGGAGGGCGGGCAGCAGGGGTCAGAGGGCACCTCCCACAGCAAGGGCAGTGCCAGCTGGAACCCGAGGCCCTGTCCCCGCCATCAGGGGATCCTCAGACCTTGCTCTGTCCTGGAGAGGGCGCCCCTGGGCAGCCAGGCAGTGGGACTGAGCCAGACTATCACCTTCCGGGTTGGCCGTCTCGGGTCAGTCGAGCAGGCCCTGGAGGGCGCGGGCCCACCTGCCCACGTGGGACTCGGCGGCGAGCATCTCTCAGGCTGGTGAAGCAGGAGAAGCAGATGGCTCTGTGCACCTGCTCCTTGCTGCCGGCACCCCGGGGTGCTGATATCCACGAGGATGGCGCTGTTGACCTGTCCTTTGTGGACAGGGAACCCTGTTCCCTCTCCTTTCTGAGCTGCACCCAGGGGGGCCCTTGGGAACTCGACACTCAGCCATTCACTGCCACCGAGTCAGGATGGGAGTCACTGAGCCCCGGGTCAGCCGGTGAGAGTGAGCTGGACACTGACCAGCGCCTCTCCCTGTGGCTTTTCTGCCTATGCACTGGCCCCTTCACCCTCGCTTCTTTGCAACTTCAGCTTGAGATTCAAGTGCTGCAAACTGGCGCGATGGTACAGCAGGGCCCGGCCCCTGTGAGGTACCTGGGCCCCGGCAGGAGTGCAGACGGAGGTCAGGCCTGGGCATGGCGCAGGCGTGGTCCCAGAGTCAGAATTCAAATCAGGTGGTGCGGGTCCCCTGTCATGTCTCCCCCCCATCCTTGGCCTCGTATCTCTATCCCCTGGGGGTCTCGGGCTGCTTCTCGGGGGTCCAGGAGGCCCCGGCAGTGCTGGTCAACCCCTTCCCCTCATGTGGCTGCATCTCTGCCCCAGCGGTCCTAGGGTGGGGCTGATGTCCGTGCTTCCCCTCCCCAGGGAGCAGGAGCCTGCGGGTCATTTGGGGTGCTCTGGGGGTAGGGCTGAGGGCCAGGGGAGGGGCCGCGTGTGCCGTGGGCCTTGGACTGGGAGCGGCGGGGTGCAGGGCGAGTGCCTGTTTGCGTGTCCCTGGGAATGGACCGGACATGGGAGCGGGGCGAGACATGCACAGCGTCCATATGCTCACAACTGCAACCCCCCGCTGCGGGTCTGGGGGCTCTGGGATGTCCTGGTGTGTGTGAAGCCTGGACACGCAGCCTGCCTGTGGCCACAGGCCCCCGGAGACCAGCCTCAGTGGGGGACAGGGAGGAACTCCGTGCAGGCGCATCGAGTGGGCACTGCGGCCCGTGACCTGCGTCTCCCTGGGAGCTGGTCATGGCTCCCCCTGGGACCCCAGTCTCTCGGGACAGCCGCCCCCTCCCTCGCCCCAGGGCTGCCTGGAGAAGGGGAGGCAGGACAGGGGCGAGAGTGCCCAGGGCCCAAGGGATGGGGCCAGCAGTGCGGGAGAGCCCAGTGCCTCCCGGGGGACCTGCTCTCGCCCAGCCGTCCTGGCTGCAGCCTGTCTTGGTTGCACAGAGGTAGTGCTGGGAACTGAGCAAGGATGGGATGAAGGCCAGGCCCCCGCCTGTAGTCTCGCCCCTCGGCCTGAACACGCGCGTCCGTGTCAGCAGAGAGTGAGGCCTGCCTGTGTGCGGCCCACTCGGTTCCGTTCCCCGGGCTCTGCAGGGCGTGGCCAGGCCCTCCCAGCTTGGCCCGGCGGTGAGCGGAGGTGCCAGTTATTGCAGCTCATCGATTGGGAAAGGAGTTCACTTTGCTCAGCAAATAGAGCTTTGATGGAGTCCCAGGGCCCTTCCGGGAGCTGATCTGCTAAAATGACACTTTTTATTACTGTTCAGAAACGCTGCTCTCCAGGTGCTGCTGGGATATTAGGTGTAATCTGTGGGCAAACTTGCCAGGCCAGCCGCACCACAGCCAGGGCCATGGCCCCCTCCCCACAGGTCTGGCAGGGAGGGGGCAGCACCCTGTTCCCAGTCAGGGTCCCCGTCTGACTTTCCTCCTCCTCTAGGGGACTGGGACATCCCCTCTCCTGAAACAGAGCTGAGCGTTCCCAGAGAGAAGGTGGGATGGGCATCGCTGAGGAGAGATGCGCGCACACACACACACACACACACACACACACGCACACACACTCTGCTCACTGAGAAGCCCTGGTCCCTCGCAACACACCTACACACAGTCACAGGTGCACACTTTTATCCTTTGGGGGGGGGGTCACACCTGGCGATGTACAGGAGTTCCTCCTGGCTTTGCACTCAGAAATTACCCCTGGTGGCGCTCGGGGGACGATATGAGCTGCTGGGAATCGAAAACGGGTTGGCCGTGTGCAAGGCAGACACCCGCCCGGCTGTGCTGTTGCTCCAGCCCCACGGACGCACTTAGTGTGCCCCCTCCCCAACACACACACACACACACACACAGTCACTGACACTGTGTTTCTCGCCCGTTCTTGGAGCTGCTCGGTGCTGCTGCTGTCTCAGGTGCTGGGCCGTGAATCTGGGTCTGAACCCCATGAGCACTTGCGGTGCTGCCCTGTAGTGCGTCCTCCAGAAGGCCGCCTCAGGCAGACGGACCACTAGAGACAAACCTGAGGAACCTTTTGGATCTTAGAACTGAGGATGGTGTGGGTGGGGGGTGGAGTCATAGGGAGGCCAGGCCCGGCCGAGCATGCGGCCCTCCCGGTCGGCACCTTGCTGGGGCCGCGCTGGGCCAGGAGGGGAACCCAGGCCCGGGCTTGGCTCACGCCTCTGCCCCCGCAGCGCTGCAGTCCTTCATCCGGGCCTACGCCACCTACCCGCGCAGCCTGAAGCACATCTTCCACATCCGCGCCCTCCACCTCGGCCACGTGGCCAAGAGCTTCGGGCTCAGAGACGCCCCCCAGAACCTCGGCGTTCCGGCCGTGAAGAAGAGGAAGGCGACCCTGAGGAGGTGAGGCCAGTCCCACACCTGAGGGTGGGCAGTTGGGGGCTCTCCCCGGAGCCAGGCCGCCGGCAGCTCCATGCTGTGGGGCCTCCTGCCCCTGCCCTGGAACTGCGAGTCCAGGCCCGCGCTTCCCTGCCATGACCCCCCACCCTGCCTTGCTAGGGGCTGGCATTGGAGCAGTGGGGTGGGGGACTCCTGCCCCCAACTCTTCAGGTGTGAACTTTGAACCTGATCTGGGGGCCCCTCCTGCTGCCCTGGCGGCCTCAGGGCCCACCTGCCACGGCCCTGAGTGCAAGCGAGGACTGAACAGTCCCAGGGAGGTGGGTCCCAGTACCTGCCCGCTGGTGTCTCCGTGGACACGCCCTGTGCACCCGGCCCTGCTGGGCTGTCCTGCTAGCGGTTCCCCAGCAGGGGGCAGTGCTGGACGGGGGCTGGGTTTGGGGTGTGACTGTGGGGAAGGGCCTGCCCTGGCATCTTGCTGGTATTGTCTGTGTGTGCACTCTGTTTCCACGTGCGTGAGCACCCGTGGGGGCAGGCGTGATCTGGTGACGCTCGTGGGGGTCGGGACTGACCCGGGGACTGGGTTCCCCGACCTGCCTTTGTGGAGAGCCAGGGCTCTGCGGTGCGGACTGGGCCGGCTTTGTCCTCGGCGGAGGCCTCCAGGGAGGGCGGGCAGCAGCCTCGCACCCGCACTCACGCCAGCAGATGGCACCGGCCCGTGCCCCTGCGCAGGGATTCGCCAGCCTTCCCCGGGGAAGAATGGGCTGATTAGGCGGCAGGGGCATGGCAGGCCCGGGTGGCCTTTGATGTGGGGCCGGCACAGCGGGGGCCGGGCTGAGTGACAGCAGCATGTCACAGGATTACCGCGACAATGCGACAATGCGGTGCCGCCCTGCGCCGGGGCCTGCCGGGGCCTTTCCTCTCCTTTCCCTCTCCCCACTGCCCTGTCCCCGAGGCAGGCTGGCCGCAGTCCATGCTGAGTCCCTGGCTGCGCGTGGCGGCTGTTCTGCTCCGGGTCCCCACCCCAGTCCCTTGTGCCTCCAGACCACGGGCTGTGTGTGCTGGGCCGGCTCGACCCCAAGACTTCCTGGGGTCACCTGTGAGCAGGTGGCAGTGAGGCCCAGCCGTGGGGAGGAGCAGCAGCGTCCCTGCACACGAAGTCCAGCCTCGATCTGTCAGCGGCGGGGCCTGCCTGGGCGTCCCTCAGCCCGGCCCGAGAGCGCGAGCCGAGAGCGAGTGGACGCTGCCCGTCGGAGGCTCTGTCCTCTCTGCATCTGTCTTTCTGCTGGTGTCACGTGCCCGGAAGCCTAGCGTCCTGGCGGGCAGCCCGGCATCTGCGGCCCTGGTCCTGCTCGTGGGCTGTGCTGAGGCACACTGAGTGACTGCCGGTGGCCTCTCATGCTCTGCCCGTACGGCCCCTCGCCCCGCCCTGTGTCCACCCGGGGGACTGACCCCCCAGCACACACACGCCCCATCCTGCCTGCCTGGGAAACCGACCCTCTTGGTTTGTTTGCGTGTCCTGACCACACTTGAGAGACTCAGGGGTCTCTCCCTGTGGGCCTTGGGGAAGCCTGGGGGGTCCTGGGGCTGTCACAGGTGAGTGAGCGCGCCCGCCAAGCAGCTGTGCCGGGCCGTTTTCCGCCACCTCCCCCCTCCCTGGCTGGACACCGCGTTCTGTCTGGCATGTCCCTTCGCCGACGTTTCCTGTTGCTATGACAGGCAGAATCCCGGCCCCGAGCCGAGACTCAGGCCGGCAAGCACGTGCGGGGCGGGCGAACTCGGCGTGTCCCCGACACACAGGGTGTCGCCGTCAGCCCGGCCTCGCCCTGGAAGCAGCCCCCGCTGCCTCCGAGCTGAGCGCCCGCGGCTGCCTCCGCCAGCAGGATCCTCATCGTGACGAGCACCTGCCAATTTCTATGTGGCATTTACAGCCGCCCTAATATCACTTAATTAGCTGTGGCAAGGCTGGAATTGTGCCACCGCAAAGCTGCTCTGGAGTTTGCCGAGCCAGTTGCCGTTCCGTGGGACGCAGCCGGACAGAACCCAGCGGACGGGGCTCCCCGCCACCCCGCCCCTTTCCCCGTGTTTTTGGGGCTGGACTCCCGTTCGGGCAGGACCACCCCCCCCCCAGGCAGCACCCGCGTGTGAGTGACGTGGGGTGTGTGCGTGAGGGTCCGTGGTTCCTGCTAGCCCCTGGCCCCTGGTGCTGGAGTGTCTGTCGCAGCCAAGCCCTGGAGTGGGCGCACCTGTGCATGGGGACGGGGTCTCCTGTTCCCGCGGCCCCCGAGGGCAGCCAGGGGCTGGGTCGAGTCATGGCCATGCTGAGCGTGTGCCTGCCCTGCCAGGCTGCCCAGGAGGGACCTCGTCCGTCTGTGCTGAGACGGACACTGGGGCACATGGCTGGGCACTGCGGCCTCCAGCGCCCTGGCCTGGCCCTGCACCCCACTGTGGTCCCCAGCATTCCTGCAGCTGTGCCCACGCCTCCCACGTGGCCTCGGCCTCCCTGACTTGTGCAGTCAATGCCTGCCACCTCCTGCGGCATGGCCAGGTCCCTGGCTGCAGCAGGAGAGTCCCCAGGCTCTTGACACCAGCCGGCTGAGCTGTGAAGGCGGGAGAGGCCCACAGCTGCTGCGGGCGCCGGACCCGCACCCTGCAGCTTCTCCCTCCAGTCCTGTCCTGGCCCTCTGCTGTCCTTCCCTCCCAGTCCGGCTGGCCTCGCAGGCCGTGTCTCTGGACGCCTCCAGCGGTGACCCCACCCTGGCTGGCCACTTGGCCCTCAGTTGTCTCCCCCCCCACCCCCGGCACAGGATGCTCCACTCGTGCCCTCTGCCCTGCCCGTGTTGTGGCCACTCCCAGGGAGTCGACTGTGTGGTGTGGCCAGCTGGCCTGGCGGTGGGCTGACCTCCCACTCTCCGTGGGTCACCTAGAGGTGCTGTCTGCTGGGCATCTGCAGGGCCCACTCGCCCTCTCCACACTCTGGGTTCCGCAGCCGCCCGGGACATTGCCCAACCGCGCCCTCGGGGACAGGCACCCTTGTAGCTGAGGTTGCAGGGCTGTGTCCAGAGTCCTTGCCTGGGGGTGGAATGACCCCCTTCACCGCGGGGTTCCGCAGGGAGCCCAGGGCTTACAAAGGCCATAAAGGGCTAAAGCACCTGCCCTTGCACCCCATATGGTCCCCTGAACCCCGTGGAGTGACAGTTCCTCGGGGTGGCCCAGAAAATTAAGATTGATGGGTGACGCCTGTCCAACAGAGTTTACCTCAGTGCATTTGGGGAGTGCTGTGAATGCGGGGGCCACCACCTTCATCTGTTCAGCTGCAGGAAGTACACACTTGAAGGGATGTTCTAGAGACGCTGCTTAAGTCCTGGGGCGGGGGGGGGGGAAGGCATGTGGCCGGAGCGGGGTGAGATTTCTCAAGGATTGAGAGAAGTCTTGGGAAGAAATGGTTAAATTCTCTGCATGCTTCTGAAACCAAAATGGAATCTGCGTGGATTTAAAGCAGTGGTCTGTCGGCAGAAGGAAGGACACCAGGGTATTTTCTGAGCGTTCAGGGAAGATGTTTCCCAGCAGGAGCCAGGCGTGTGCAGGGATGGACTGGCCTGCAGCCCGAGGCTGGGCTGCTACTTGGAAACGGGGTCACTTTGGAGGGTCCAGCCTGGAGGACAGGAAGGGCAAGGAGGTCGGCCGCCTTGCATCCCCCCTCACCTGTAGGGCCCCGGCTCACAGCGACTGGGGGGCTTCTCTCTGTGCCCCTCTGGGCTATGTGCACCCACCCGCACCCAGGGTGGACCCATCTGGAGTCTTGGGTGTCCGGGAAATGTTCGGGCAAGAACGCCCCAGGCTCTCGGGGACCCGCGCCTCATTCCTGTCCTGGGCAGGAGACGGCGTCCACCTACTTGTCCAGGAAGTGACAGGGCCACCATGCAGCTGTCCAGTGAGCAACCACTGGCTTCCGCATCTCACTTTTGTGGGAGCAACTGGGCCGGGGAGGACGTTGCAATTGAGATCTTCCATTGTGGGGTTGGGGTGTCACATTGCACCCCATCCCCGTTGCAGGCGTCCACCCGCCTTCATGGTGATCATGGCAGTGAGCAGAGGCTGCCCGGGTCCTCCCGCGGGCCAGCCTGGTCGGGGCCACACCCCTCCCCCACCCCGTCAGCTGCACCCGAGCGGCGTTGGTTGGGGCTGGCACAGCTGGGAGCAGAGCCCAGGCTCCCGCGGGCACCCTGCTTACAGCTGCCCTGCACACACACAAGTGCCAGCATAGCCCCGGCCCGAGTCGGCTTGGTTCTGTCACTTCTTCCCATGTGGAAACTGAGGCACATGCCGCGGGGCCAGGCAGGTTCTGCCCATGTGCCACTGAAGACCCCAGAACCCCCCATGGACCCCCGGATCCTCTGATCCCGCCCCGCTCCGGACGGATCACACAGGGGTGAGGAGAGAGCCTGGATTTGGCGTCTGCGCACACACGCCTGCGTCTTGGTTCCGAGGAGGGCCCTGCAGACACCGCCCGCACCCGCCCCGTTGGCCTTGTCAGTGAGCTGCAGCCAGGAGTCAGGCCTGAGTCACCCTCAGAAGCAGAGACGCCGCGAGACCCCACATGTGTTCACATGCTCACGTACTCCCGGCCTGGGAGCCGCAGACCCGTTGCCTGGGCTGACCCTGTTTCATCCCCCACTCCGCTGGGCCCAGTTGTCCCTCTGCCTCCCACCTTTTGTCCCCACAGGTCACCTTCAGGCTTCTCTGATGTGTCCCTGTACAGACCCATTGTGAAACGCAGGGACTGGGGCACCGTGGCCTGCACCCACCCCTGGGCTGCCATGAGTCCCCACCCCCAGACCCCCGCTGGAAAGCAATTTTATCGCTCAGGTGCCCTCTGCCTCTCCCAGGACCCCCAGACATTGCCATCAGGGGGCGGGAAGTCTTGCCGTGGTGGCCTGGGCTGAGACAGCAGTTCTGGCAGTCTGGGTTAGGAGTGGCTGAGAAAGGTTACTTGGTGTCCAACTGTCCCATCAACTCTGATTGCTGTCACAAGGTGAGTCTGTGTCTCTCCGCCTGGAAGGGGACCCAACCTGCTGGGCGGCACCCTGGGCCCACGTCTGGGGGTCACCGCTGCTCAGCCTGGGTGCCACCCCTGGCCCCCGCTGTGCGGACTCTGAGTGTGAAGTCGGCGTTTCCAGCCTCCACTCTGCGCGATCACACGCCTCATTTGCCGTCCGCGTCTGAGCGCCCCGCGTGCTATTTTCCCAGGAAAACAGCATAGAACAAAGCCTCCCTTTTAAAAATGCCATGATATTTTGCCTCCGTTATGAAAATCTGTCAGCGCCGCATCTGATCTTGCAGTGCAGAGAATATCAAAACAAGCGCCATCGAGGGGCGTGTGCGCGTGTGAACACAGAGGCGTCAGTTCCGTGGGCTCGGGACCAGCTGCGCAAAGCGGGAGAGAGCCTCAAGTGTCTTTTCTCTCCACATCTCCGCTGCAGGTCCAGCCTTGCCAAGAAGACGCCGAGGAAGCAGCGCCTCGCTGAGCTCCTGCGCTCGGAGTACGCCAGCGGCCTGCAGCCGGCAGCCAAGGCCGGAGAGTCCAGCCGGGCGGCAGAGCCCAGGCGCGCCGGCCCCAGCCCTGACAGGGCTGCGGTCTAACCCACCAGTTCTGTGTCCGGGGAGGGGCCGGTCCTGGGGGTCCACATCCTCACCAGGAGCCTTGTGGCAGGACCTGAGGACGCCGGGGCAGGGGGTCAGCATAGCGAGGTAGCCAGGCCGGGCCCCCTGTCCTTCCCCTTGGGGCCTGCATTCGTCCCCTCCACCCACCCGGCGACCCTCCCCAGGACACGCCGGGGCAGCCTGGGAGCCTTGTAGGGGGACCCTGGGCCGCTAGAGCAGCACAGGCGGCCGAGAGCTTTGTTAGGTGGGGTGGGGGTGGGGGTGGGGTAGAACCAGTAGTTTGTAAACGCAGAGAGAAAATATCACTTAGTATTCTTTTTCATTTTTTCTTTTTTTTCGTTTTTTTTTTTTTGTTTTTGTGTTTGGGCCCCGCCCAGTGGTGCTGGGGCTTTAGGGGGCTACTCCCAGCTCTTTGCTGGGGGGGGGGGGGCGCTCCCCGCGGTGCTCGGAGGACCATATGCGGAGCTGGGGGTGGAACCAGGCCGCCCGCATGGACGAATCTGCTGCCCCCCCTCCTCCCCAGGCTTTGGTGGGGACCCGGAGCTGACCGCTGTCCCTCCCGCTGCATCATTCACTTACACAGCCGCACCCCCAGCTTGCACCACAGACAGCCTGGGCCTCGTAGAGGGTCACCACCGAGGTCACCACCACCCCTGCCAGGCTCTCCTGAGGCTGGGAGCAGACCCCCCTCCCGGCCCTGTGGGTTTCCCAGTAAGTCAGGTTTGGACGAGGCGGCCAGGCCCGAGTTCCCAGGTGGGGCCACATCTGCCGAGCACATCACAGCACACCGCAGCGGGTGGGGGAGCCTCGGGTGGGCCTTCTGCTGGGTGGCTGGCACTTGGGCACCCTGGCGCCAATTGGTGCCGCGTGTAACCGGAAAGATGACAATAAAGCGATCCTGCCACGTCCCGTCTGGTCCATGTGGAGCCGTCACGTGCTCTGATAGAAAAGGAGGGATCAAGCCCAGAGACAAAATCCAGCTGTGTGAGAAACAGGATTAATGGCGTGATCAGAGGCGACCAGAGAGAAGCCACTCAGGGTCACACCCCTGCACACCCCCTCTGCATTCCAGGGCTGTCGGCCGGCCGGCGGAGCTTCTGCCACCAGCCATGCGCGCCCCTCTCCAAAAGGGGAGGGGGAGACCAGCTGACCCCAGCTAATAAATAGGAGTTTGCAGATCTGGGGTTGACTTAAACTCAGAACACGAACACAAATCTTCCGTGATGGCTCTTGGCAAGTTCTATGTTGCAGACACATCAAGCCAAGTTTGGCCAAAGTCCACCATGCAATTCTGGGTCCAGAACCTCGGTCCGGGGGTAGAAGTCACAGAACTTGGCCCCCCAATGAACAGCGCAGTCCCAAGTGTTTTCTTGAGCACGGGGACACCAGCGCACTGTCCCCTCCGCTGGTGCAGAGCCTGTGCTGGGCCATTCGGTATTTGAGCCCAGGAAGGGCACCTCCCAGGCGGCCATAATACAGTGATCACGTGCCCAACCCCAGCACCCCATATGGTCCCCAAGCCAGCAGGGGTCAACCCTGAGCACTGCCCCGTGACCAAAAATAACCCCACTCAAAAAAAAAAAAACGGAATTCTAATTTTCCCCTCTGAACCCCTGCAGGGGAGAGACCCTCTAAGGCAGAAGCACCCCAACCAAGGGCGGCCCCACTGTTCAGCACTTCAGCCCCATCAGGCTTTCCCACCGCCTGCTGCCCTGTTGGAGAAGGGCCTTGGTCTGTGGACCCCCGCACCCATCAGCTCCACTGCTGGGGGCTACGGAAGGTGGGGGGCTGCTGCGCAGGGTGTGGCTCACGCTGCCCCCCGCCCGCCCCTGCAGCTTGGTGCCTCCCGACTTCCCAGGAGACAGACTCGAGGGGGGAACTGGACCCATGTCCTACCCTGGTCGCCCTCCCCCAGGCAGCTCTGCGGGACCCCCGTTGTGCCAGTGTGGGGGGTCTACCCCCTTCTGATGCTTCAGTGAGCAGCAACCCCCTCCCAGCGCCCGCCCGCGGGGAGAGCCGGGAACCCAATGTCCCCGGAGCGCACGGAAGTCGGAAGCCAGCTTCTTGCAAAGGTTGTAAAGTTATTATTACAGCTGGGAAGTGCAGGACAACTTAAAATAGTGTAATTATAAACTTGTCGGGAAGCCTTGTTCTTCATTAATGTCAGCTATGAAACCGCCTCTGCCGTACAAGGACAATTACATAGTTGGGAACGTGTCTCCGCCTCGCCCGCCGCTGTGCAAATGTGAGGTGCCGCGCGCCCCTCCTCCACGCGGCGGAGTGGGAAGCACCTCCGTGCAAGTTGTCCTTTGATAGATTTTTAATATGATTTTAAAGAGTTTTGTTTGGTCTCATTCTTATTCAATGAGATTAATTTAAAGCACTTATCCCCTGGGTTTAAGTCAATCCATGTAGGATTTGGACCGGGTTTGTCGCTTGGGGGGTTTTGTTTGCTGGAGGCTAGCGGAGACTCCTTTCCCACTTCATTAACCCCGAGCTGGGGACTGGCCCCCCCGGCCCCCCACCAGCCCGAGCCCAGGATTTACCAACCCCCATTCACATGCAAAAGAACTCCAGCCCAGAACCTCGGCGACTTAGTCAGCTGCTGTGCACTTTGCAAAATTAGAATAATACCCTCCCCAGCCGCGGGAAGAAAGCCTGGGCGCCGGGGCCGGGGGGCCGGGGGAGGCGGTGGGGGAGGGCCCCCACCCCACCCTCTCCGCTCTCCGGAGCGGTCCTGCCACCCAGCTGGCGGGGGCCGGGCGTGCGCCCCCTGAACCGCAGCCCGGGGCGCTCGGCCTCTGAAGGTGACCTTGGCCCTTCGGACGTGAACTCGGGCGCGGAGCCGGGCTCACGCCCCCTCCCCCGCGGGCGGGAACCCCCGGCGCTGGGCCCGGGCGGCCCCGTCGCCTTCGGCGCGGCCCCAGCCGCCGCCGCGCGTCCGCAGCCGGGGTGCGGGCGGCGGGGCCGGGCGGGGCAGCGGCCTCGGGGTCCATCTGTCGGCCCCGCGCCCCGCGCTCCGGTCACCAGCTGCCGGCGCCCTCGCCGCGGCCAGATGAGGCGGCTCGGCCCGGGCCCCGCCGCGCCGCCCGCACCCGCGCGCCGGCGCCCCCCGCCCGCCCCTGGGACCCGGGGCCAGATGGAGGGGGCGCGCCCCCCGCGGGGAGCCGGGGTTCGCGGCCGCGGCGGAGGGAGCGCGGACGGCGCCGGGTCGTTTGTAAGAAGTTTATTTGGACACTTAGAAAAGCGCGCCCGGGGGTGGGCGCCCGCGCGGGCCCCGGGCCCCCCTCGGCGTCGCGGACTCACGGGCACGAATAAATAACTTCGCGGACGCGGGCGCGGCCGCCTCACCGGGGCTGCGCGGCGCGCGGGAGGACGCCGGCCAGCGGGGGCAGCGGCGGCGGCGGCTCGGCCGCGCCCTGGAGTCCGTGCAGGAGGAGGCGCGGCACGAGGGGCCGCTGCAGCGCGGGCGGCGGCGCGCTGGGCCCGCGGTACAGGTAGAGCGCGGCGCCCGGGTCCAGGTTGGAGACGAGGCCCTGCGGGTAGAAGTAAGGCGACGGGAACATCCGCTGCAGCGCCGAGTAGTTGCCGGCCTCGGCCAGCAGCTCCAGCCCCACGGCCGTCTGCCGCTTCCACTTCGTCCTGGGGACCCAAACACACCGAGCTCAGGCCGCGCCGCCGGACGCCCCGCGCGGACCCCGCGGGGCGGCCGAGGGGCGCCGTCGCCCGGACCCCACGCGGCCCCGAGCGCTCCCGCGGCTCGCCCGGGACGGGGAACGCTGAGGTCCGCCGGGCGGGAGGGCGGCGCCCCGACGGGCCCTTCGGGGCACCCTCGGGGGAGGGGTCTTAGCACGGAGCGGGTGGCCTCGAGGGCTGCGGGGACTCCCAGCTGGCATCAGCTGCGGGCGGGGGGCTCGTCCTGCCGCGGGAGGGGCCGGGAGGGCCGCCGGCCCCGTCCTGCTGCTTCCGGAAGCCGACAAGGAGCCCAGTGGCCTGTGGCCCCAGCCGCTCCCGGGAGCCCTGGGTGCACCTGGCCCATCCGTCCCGCCGACGGACCCCCGTCCCTCCCTGAATTATTCATCTTAGCCATAATCGTGTAATTACTGTACCGCCCCTTAATTATTGATGCCCTGAGCAGTGGTCCGATCTATTATTCATGGGCGGTTCCAGGCTTGCCTGGGATACTCCATCCTGGCCGCCGAGTGGTGGGTGCATTGTGCACGTATGTGCGTGCATGGATGTGCATGGATTTTGCGTGTGTGCATGCATGTGTGTGTGCACATGTGTGTGTGAGTGTGTCCATCCATGTGACTGGCCTGCTCAGGTGTCTGAGTTTTCATCAGGTAATGCATTTGGGGACAGAGATCGGGAATGTCACTCCCTTGTCCCCTGTTTGGGGGCGGGGGGTGGGGGAGTGTCCTTCCCTCCTGGGGTTAGGGATGGGACTCAGAGCCCAGAAGAACCTGCCTCAGGCCACCCCCTCCCAGTCCTGCCCGAGATACAGCTGGCACCTGGGCCCTGCGCCCCTGGGGACGCGCAAAGCTGGGGTGCAGGGGAAGGTTGGTCTGAGAGGCCAGTGGGCCTGGGGCCGAGAGGATGGGGACTCTTGGAGGCCTCGGTTTCCCCACTGTGCCCAAAAGGGGCCGCCCTGGGGCTTCCCCTAAGCCTCGCGCCCGCCTCACCTGCGGTTCTGGTACCAGGTCTTGACCTGCGTGTCGGTGAGGTTGAGTGAGGCGGCCAGCTCCATGCGGTCCTGCACGCTCAGGTACTTCTGCCGCTCGAAGCTGCGCTCCAGCTGGGCCAGCTGGTGGTCGGTGAAGGCTGTGCGCGCCTTGCGCGGCTTCTTCAGGCGCACCGGGGGGCTGTCCCTGGAGCTGGAGATCTCCCCTTCCTCCTTCACTGCGGGGAGAGCCACGCGTCAACCCGTGCCCCACACCCGCACCCACACCCCGTTCTCAAGTGAGAAGGACTCAGGCCGGCCTGATAAATAAAGTCGGGCACCAGCGGCCCGAACACAGCCCAGGCGCGGGCCGGCGGGTCTGGGGCACCAAGCCCGCAGCGGGGCCAGGCGGGGGCACTCTGCAGCCGGCATTTCCTTGGTGGCGGCTGAGGCCCAACTGCTCCGGGGACGCTGTGTCTGTGGGGCCTCCCCGGCTCCCTCCTACTTCCCAGCCCCAGACCAAGGCCCCACAGAGCTGAGCCGACGCAGGCTGCCATTCTCTGTTCCTCCACAGTGGCTGGAGACACCACCAGACCCACACCTCTGATGAAGCGAACGCAGAGACCCCCGTCCTCCCGTCCTCCCCACCACAGTGATGTCCTCTGGGAGACCACGTCCCCCCTCTGCGCCCTGTGGTCCCTCCGGCTTTTCCTTTATGGTTTTATCTCCTCGCTAGCAAGCAGAGTTTGCAGAGTTCACCCAGCCCGTTGATTTCTCTCTGTAGGAAACAATAATCCAGTTAATTGAGCCACTTGGGAACGAGGCTCTTCAACGGGAGACCGTGGCAGGATGGGGACCTGGCGGCCCGCGAGCAGAGGAGCAGAGCAGGGCGTGGGGCGTGCCGGAGGAGACCCCAGCTCTCCTGGGCCTCCGGGGCGATGGCCCGTCAGGAGGGTGCAGGCTTCTTAGGATGTGGCTCTGGAGATGATTTCTGACCCAGACAGGTGCCGTTGGAACGAGCACACGGACCCCAGGAGTCGGGCCTCACTCTGGGTTTGCAGTGTGAGGGGACCCCCTTGCCAGGTTCCGTGCTCTGTCCTCACCGAGGTGTGTGCTGAGGTGTGTGTGTGCGTGCGTGTGTGTGTCTGAGTGCTGGGCTCTGGTGTGTGGTGTCATGAAGAACAGGTTGGTCCCGGCTCCCTCGAACCCCTGTCGGGCGCAGGGCGCAATCTTGGCTCTGCTGGGGGTAGAGGCTCAGCCGCTGGTTCAGAGGTGACAGGTCAGAGCCGACCTAGATGCGGTAGCAAGCTTCCTCTCTGCACACCAGCACCTCAGGTCAAAGTCCCTTTAGCTTCAAGTGTATTTGGGGATGGGCTGAGCGAAAGACAGCAGGGACGATGCTCCCCGTGCACGCAGCCGACCCGGGTTCAATCCCCGGCACCCAATATGGTCCCCAAACCCCATGCCACAGGGCTGAACCCCAAATGCTGATCCAGGAATGACTCCTGAACATCACTGAGTGTGGCCCCCCAAAAAATGTGCTCGAGGAGCCTCAAGGCTAGAAATGCTGGATCGAGGAGTGCACTGACCTCCCCCAGGCCCACCTTAAGAGAATCGGACTTGTAGCTGGGAAGGCGCGTGTGAGTGGAACCTGTCGGGCCCAAATCCCAGAGGGCCTTGAACCTGCTCATCTCTGCTTCTTAAGTCACGCTCCAGAGCCTCCTCTTCCTCCTCTTCTCTTCCTCCTCCTCTTTCTTCCTCTTCCTCCTCCTCCTCTCCTCCTCCTTTTCGTTCATTTCCTCCTCCTCTCCTTCCTCCTCTTCCTCCTCCTCTTCCTCCTCTTCCTCCTCCTCCTCCTCCTTCTTTTCCAGATCTCTGCAGGGTTCCCCTCTTCCACCCGAACTTGAAGGTGGAAAGGCAGCACCAATCCCCCCACATCAAACCCTGATGCAGTACAGGGGCCGCTGCCTTCCCTGGCCAGTTATCACCTGGGACAGGAGAAGGACACTAATGTTCCCATGATCTTAAACGAAACCTCCCTGTCAAAAACCGGCCTGGCCGCCCCTGCCACAGAGACGGCAAACCGGCCTGGGCAGCGCTGAAAATGCAGCCAGCTCAACCCTCCAAACCTGGGCATTGTTGCTGAGAATATAAATAATAAAAGCATGAGATTGTAAATCAACAGGACCTGCTCTCCTTTCCCTCGCGCACCTGCCTTTCCCAGGGCAAGTGGTCTGGGGGTGTAATCTAGGGCAGTGTGATTCTGGGGTGCTCCTCTCTGCGAACAGAGCCCTACATGGCCGGAGGGGGCTGGGGCTTGGGGGGAGCCTAGGGGACAGGACGAAGGTGTAGCCGAGGAGGCCCCAAATGGGTTTTGGGTTGAGTTTAGGGTGCTGGGCAGAGGCCTGCATTTCATGATGGACAAGGTGGTCAGGAGGGGCTATGGGGCTTCTAGAAAAAAAAGGAAGAAGAAGAAGAAGAGGAAAAAGTAGAAGAAAACGAAGTTGCCTTTTGAGGGAAGTTTTGTCTCACGGAAAGGCTCCAGGAGGGAATGCGGCAGGAAGCGGCCTGGCAGAGCACAGGAACCTGGCCGCTTTCTCTCCCCCTCCCTGGCGGACGCCCCAAGGCTAGGAGCGCCTCTGCCGAAGCCCAGCCAGAGAGGGGAATGGCTTGGGGGGACGCGGGGCGGGGGCAGGAGACCCCAGAAAGGATCTTTTTCTCCTTCCCAACCCAGTTCTCAGGTTAAGAGGGGGAAAAGGGGACTAGGTTGGAGATGGGGTTGGTGGTGGAAAAGGCCAGTATAGTGCAGCTCCCGGGAGCGGGGGTGTAGCGAGGGGTCTCGGAGCCCATCTGAAGCCGGGAGCTCCAGGCAATGCCCTCAGGTTCCGTGAGAACCACCACCACCGGGTGGGCAGCGGGCGCCGACCCCACGTCTGCCGCCCGCTGCTGTTTCTGCTTGGCAGTGAGCCTTCCCTTTGCCGGATCTGGACCAGGCAAACCCCGTTCCTTGTTTCTGTCTGGAAATGAGATCCGAGGTGAAAAACCCCGACTGTCCTCAGCGCGCCGAGCGGGAATGTTCTGCTCTTTCCCTCCTGCAGGGGCCGGGAAGCGAGCGCTCCGGAGCCCTCGTGGCTTCTGAAAGGTCATTTTTTTCCGGGAGACCCGGCGCACCAAGAACCCTGCCCTCCTCCGCAGCACCCCCAAAAGGGAAAGTTGGGAAAGTTTGCGTCGTGGATTTTGGGTCCACAGCACCCGGCTCCCCCGCGATCACGCTCCCTGCCGGTCTCTTTGTTGCTGGAGGGCCTGGCCGCAGGGCCTCCCGGAAGGGTCCCCTAAGCCCCACCTCTCAGCCGGCCGGGGAGCCGTGCTAGTGAGCGTTCTGGCAAGTTCCAACGCCCATTTTGTTTTGTTTTGTTTTGTTTAGAAATATCGCTCCCCCCCCCCCCACCAAGTGTCCCCCTCCTGGTCTCTTACCTTTGTATTCAGAGTCCGACGATACATTGCTGCCACTTTTGTCCAGCTTGTCTCGGAAGTCCCCTGTGGCCTTGGCCACAAGCCGGCCCCCAGGCTCGGGGGCGGCGGGCTGCCCGCTGCTGGAATAGGGGGCGCAGGCCGCCAGTGGCTTGCAGTCGGCGAGGATGTCCCTGATCAGGAAGGAGGAGGTCACCGTGCGCGACTGGGCAGTCCCCGAGAGCTGGCCGGGCTGCAGGTGGGGGTCCAGCGCCGGGCCCGGGGCTCCGCCGGCGCGCGGCGCCCCCGCCTCCAGGCAGTCCGGTCCCGGCGAGGCCCGCGAAGAGCAGGTGCTGCCGCTCTCGGAGCGCGGGCTCAGCTCCAGGGGCGAGCGGCAGCCCCGCAGCAAGGGGTCCCCCTTGGGAAGGGCGGGGCTGCCCGCTCGGTGGGAGAGGATGGAGTCGATCCCAAAGCCATTGGCGCCTTCCATCTCCGCGCCGGGACGCTTCCTCCCCGCTCCCCGCCCGCGCGGGCCCTAGCCGCGGGCCGGCATGGGGGTGGCCGGCGGGGAGCCCGCGGGCACCTTGGACCGAGTTCAGCCTCGGGGCAGCCGGGGCGCGCGGGCCCAGCCTCTGCGCATTAGATCCGAAAGCGCCTTCGCGTCTCGCCCCGCGCCGCCGAGCCGAGGGGGGGCGGTGGGAGTGTCGCGGAGGCGCGGGAGGGCGGCGAGGGGCCGAGCCCGGCGCCCGTGGGCGCGCGGAGCCGGTGGAGCGCGGGACGAGCCGCGCGCGCGGGCGCGTCAGCACCTCGGAGAGCGGCGGCCCGAGCGCATCGCGGCGCCTGGTCCAGCCCGCGCCGCCGCCCCCGGCTGTCAAAAATGAACTTGTGTCACTTTTACTTTGCGGCTGGGTGGGTTTTTTTTTTTTTTTGGTTGTTTGTTTCTATCCTCGCCCCCACCCCTGTTGTGTGTGTGTGTGTGTGTGTGTGTGTGTGTGTGTGTGTGTGTGGTGTGTGTTTTAAGGGCCCTCGCCCACGTGTCCCCGGAGTGTTGACGCTGATTGGCTGCGGCCGATTTTGGGGGTGATGTCACGGCTCCGCAAGCCACTGCCCGATTCCCTTTCAGTTTGATTAAAAGAGACACTGAATTAATTACAGCCCAGACCCAACTGTTTACCGGCCATTTCCACTCGGTGTGCTTTCATTAGGCCGGTGATGAGGGTCCTAATGAGAGGTGATTAGCCGAGGGGGGTCCCGGCTGGCGGGGAGGGTCCGGAGCCGGCTGTCGCTGCGCTGTTTAGGATATGGGCTCTTTTAAGTTTTCCCTTTCCCCCAATTATTCCATTTACTGCCCTACATCCCTTTCCTCCCCGTTTTTCTTCACCGAATACAGCGGAACAAGTGATCCTTCCTGATCCTGGCTCCAGCTCTGAGCTCGGGGCTCCAACATGTTCCGCGGGTTCTGGGCATCTCAGAGTGGGGGTTCTGGAGGTTTCCCGTGTAGGACAACCTGCTAGCTTTGGGTCCAGAGAGTTGGGGTGGGCTGGACCGGGTTGGTGGGGGGGGGTGTCTGCCCCGGAAAGGAGGGGGGCCGGGCTGCGGCTCGCACCAGGGGAAGTAGCAAAGGTAGGAGAGTCGGGGCTGGGGAAGGCGAGAGCAGCGTGTGGCCCCGAGGGGCGGCTCAGCGGACAAAGAAGGTCCCTGCCCAGTGGCCCCTCCTAAGGCTTTTGTACCTCTGTGAGGCGTGAACAAAGCTTCCCAGAAAGGTGCGGGCAGACCGCGGTACACACCCGCGTGCATCCCGGCGCTCCCCGAGTCCGAGGCCTCTGCAAAGGGCGTTGAATTCTGCACAGAGCCGGAGCCGCACGCCGGAAGGCTCCTCGGGGAGCCCTGGACACTCGGTTTTTCCGTGTGGAGCCCGGGGCCTCGTCCTGCTCCCTCCTCTGACCACGGGCGACTGGGGAAGAGCTGAAAGACGGGGGTCCCCGCACCTTCTCCTCCCTTCGTGCCCAGGACTTGCCACCCTGGTGCGGTCCGCGGGGGTGGGGCGTGGGGCTCCGCAGCGCCCAGCGCTCAGGACGTCCAGGGGATAATTGCTCGCACCTCTTAGGTGCCTTCCCCACCGGCCCCGGAAGGCTACCCTGGTCCCACGGGGGCCCGGCCTCAGGCCAGCCAGGGAAGCAGGAGGCTCCCCACCCCTAAACCGACTTGGGCCCCTGGAAACGTGTGCAGGGAAAGCCGAAACTTTCCTCCCCTCGGGCGAGGTCGGTGATGCTCTCGCCCGCGGCCCGGCGCTCTCCCCCTGCGGCCGCCGGCAGATTGGAAGCGGCGCTGCCGGCCAGGCTGGGGCGAGGCTGGGCGGCTCCCCGGGGACCGAGGGCCCGACTCGGGTACAAGCTGTCGGCAAAGGCGGGAGGGCGGGTGCCGAGGGCCGTGGACAGGCTCCCTCCCCGGCTCAGCGGCCGCTGCAGCAGGCATCTCCTGCCGTGGCCGAGCGGGCGTGGAGCTCATTTTCCTTGGGGGGGGCGGGGAGGGGAATAAATCACCTGCCCATCCAACCCCACTCTTGCCCCCGGTCCCGCGGAGACCCCCGCTCCTCCTCTCCTTGCTCCTTGTCACCCCTGACACCACCCCCGTTCCCGCTGGTCAACGAGATGCCCCTTCCCGAGGCAGCAGGAGGCCACAGGGCCCCAGGGCCAGCCTCTGGCGGGGGCCTGTGGAGCGCTGCCCGCGGGCGGGCGGATCCCAGCTCTCATGCCCCAACCCCCTGGGACTCGGCCAGCGAGCGGGGACACCGGGGTCTGCATCCCGGACCCAACGAAACAAAACGAAAGGAAGTCTCCGGGTGCCAGCTGGGCACTGTGCGGGGGGGGGGGGGGGTTGGGGGTGTGGGGCGGGGGTTGTGCCAGGCACAAACCCTTCCTGTGCGCTGCAGGACCGCGGAGGCCCAGCCCCTCGTTTCTCCCCTCCTGGGGCCCGGGTGTGTTTCTTTAACAGTTGTTGGTCCGTAGGGACAGAAGGATTGACGGCAGCGGCCCTGTGCTCCACCCCATGCGGTGCCCAAGGACGCAGTCCTCTTAGTTCCCCCGACGTTCCTGTGGTTTCCAGCCTCTGGGCCCCCCTTTCTCCATCCTGGGGGTTTCTCTGCAGCTCAGGCGCTGCGGGCTGACAGGGTGGTTCCCTGGGCTCTGGGACGGCAGGGAAGGAGCCGGAACTGGCATTTCGCTGCCAAGGCACGGTGGGGGTGGGGAGGGGGCGTTTGCCCCGGGAGCCTCCTGGGAGGAGGCTCCCTTCCCTTGGACAAAGGTTCAGGGGAGGGCTTGGAGGGTCTGCAGAGCCTGCAGAGCTGCAGAGCGTGACCTCTGGGGCTTGGTTGAGGTGGAGCTTTGTCCACCCTCCTGAGCTCTTGACCTCCCTCCCCCTCCTCAGAAGGAATGTGACCCCTTGATTTGAACGCAGAAGTGTGGGCAGGCAGTAGCCCAGGCCCCTGCTTGGGAGGGTTCAAGCCCCACCCCCAGGGCCTCTGAGCCTCTAACCTCAAACCCCTGCCCCCTCCACCCAGGTGGGATGGGGGGAGATTTTCCTCTCTTGGCACCTGGAGCTTTAGGGGGGCCCAAAGCTGAGTCCCCTCTGGCTCCCGGCTCCAGCCCGGCCCGCACAGCTCGCACAGCTCCGGCGGCTCCTTCCTTGGGTACAGAGCGAGCAGAACAGAGAGTGTGTTTGCTACCTGCTTGAGGGGTGCCCCGCCCTGGCCGGTCAGGGTGGCCAGTGAGTAGCCAGAGGCTAGCTGGTCAGCACTGGCCATACTCTGGCCATACTCGGCCCAGGAGGAGGGCCTGGTTCTTTGGCCTTCGGGCCCCTTAGTTCAGCAGGTGGCGCCTACATCTTGCCTGTGGCGGTGCCTGGATCATGCGGTTTCGCTGGTCACCACTTCCCTCACCTAGAGGGTCAGAGCAGCTGGCCAGGATGGCCAGGGCAGGCGCAGGACACTCCAGCGCACAGCCTGGGTTTGGGGGCCACATCTGGGGGTGCTCAGGGCTGACTCCGGCACGGGCACCTTATGGGATGCCTGGAACCCAGCGGCCCTGGGCAAGTCAGGTCTTTCCCTACTGTCCTGTCCAGGCCTGGAGTCCAGTTGCCCTCTCCAGCTCTGTCCGTCTGAGATTAGTAGGTTTTTTGTTTTTGTTATTTTAATTTTAAAGATGTTGCCCAGCACATTTTCTGACGTTCTCTGTATTCCCTGGGATCCCTGTGGAGTTTACCCTTGGCCAAGGCCCGCATGTGCCTCCCAGCCTTGCCCGCTGGGGCCAGCAGGTGTCTCCGTGGGACCCCAAGAGCAAAACGAAAAAACAATTGAGAGTGACGGTATTTTCAGCTTCTAAGTGGAGACTGCTGCTTCTTTATTTGGGGAGTGTGTGTGTGGAGGGGGTTCACGCCCAACATTGCCCAGGGGTCACTCCTGGCTCTGCACTCAGGAATCACTCCTGGAGGGCCCAGGGGGCCAGGTGGGATGCCGGGATTGAACCTGGGTTGGCTGTACATGAAGCAAGTGCCCTACCTGCTGTTCTATCTACTTCTTAAAAAAAAATCTTTCAGGTCTGTCACAGCCAGGGGTGCTCAGGGGACAGCGTGGTGCCTGGGACTGAACCCAGGGCTCCTGCCGCAAAGCTCGTTTCCAGCTCGAGATGGAGCTAAAAACATCTCACAGTCCCGGAGGTCCTCGGGGACAGGACTTAGTTCCTCACAAGAGCACTGCTGCTGCGAGTGAGAAACTGTCCCCTGGGGTCCAGTCCCCCCCCCAGCCTCAGCTCCAAGCCCGTCCCCTTGGCCTGAGCCCCCCCGCCCCCACCCCCCAAGCCCGGAGTTTGCAGCCTGCGAGATTCTGGCTGGGTCTGGGTGAACAGATGGGCTGGGCCCGGGTTTGGGCAGTTTGTGGTCTTCAAGGTCGTGCTGTTCCCGGCCGTGTTGTGTTATTTAGCGCCGAGCCCCGCCGAGCCCTGGGCGGGGAGGCTCCGCTCCCTCCTGTGCCCACACCTTGCTCCTTCCCGGGACAGCCTTCGAGATGCTGGGATGTTCGGCGGCAGCGCTCTAGGGGCTGGGAACACGCCTCTGTCGTTCGCCGGCCGTCCCTCCACTGCTGGCTCCCAGACCGGGGCTGCCCCAAGGCCCCCTGGCGTGGGAGCCCCAGAGGGGAGGGGAGGAGGGGCTCTGGACCTGGGATCCCAGGGGGTGGGGCGGTGAAGTGGGTGTCTACGTAGGCGGCTGAGACCCGCTTTCCGCCCCCGGCCCTGGAGCTGCTTCTCTGCTGTTGTCCCCAGCAGACCCCGCAGAGCACCGGCTCCAGAACCTTCCGACTTCTGGCCAAGAAAATGTTTCATCTTTGGATAGAGGAGGGGGGAAGGGGGAGGAGAGGAGAGGGAGGGAAAGGAGAAAACTGAGAGGGGAGAGGAGAGGGGAGGAGAGGAGAGGGAGGGAAAGGAGAAAACTGAGAGGGGAGAGGAGAGGGGAGGAGAGGAGGGAACGGGAGGGAGAGAGGGGAGGCAGTGGAGAGAAGGGGAGGAAAAGGAGGGAACGAGAGAACGGAAGAGGAGCGGAGAGGGGAAGGGAGGGCAGGGAAGGGAAGAAGAGAGGAGAGGCGGGAGGGAAGAGGAGAGGAGGGGAGGGAGAGGAGGGGAGAGACTATTTAAGCCGGAGCTCGCTCTCCGCTCTCCGGGCACACAGCCCCTCCCCCAGCAGGCCCAGGAGCGCCCCCAGAGCCCCCAGAGCACAGAGCGGGACTGAACTCACGGAACAAACAAGTCAACAGTCACATCGGCACCCTGGGCTCGCCTCTGCACCTCTTGGTGTTGCCCTCACTGGCAGAGCTGTGTGTGTGTGTGTGTTGTGTGTGTGTGTGTGAGTGAATGTGAGTAGAGGGGAATATTGTGATTGTGTATGTATGTATGTGAATGTGTAAGTGCATGTGTGTGTATGTGTGGAAGCATATGGTATATGTTTGAGTGTGTGAGTGTGGGAATGTGAGTTTGAGTGTGTGTTTGGGTGTGTGAGCATGTGTGCGTGTGAGTGTGTGTGTGCGTGTGAGCGTGTGTGAGCATGTGCGTTTGTGTGTGCATGTGTGTCATGTGATGTGTGTGTGCGTGTGTGTGCACCTGTGTGTGCATGCGTGTGCCTGCATGTGTGCACCTGTGCGTGTGCATGTTTGTGCATCTGCGTGTGTGCATGTGCGTGCGTATGCGTGTGTGTGTATGTGTGTGCGTGTGTCTGTGCATGTGCGTGCGTATGCGTGTGTGTGTATGTGTGTGCGTGTGTGCATGTATGTGCGTGTGTGTGCATGTGTGTGTGCATGCCTGTGTGTCCTCTGTAGCCCCTGCGGGCTCCCAGGAATCCCCTTACCCCAGACCCCCATAGTGCCGTCCCCGGGTGGGCCCCCACTGCCCGCCCCGGTTCCGGGAAAGCGGCCCGGCTGCAGCTCCCCCGCGCGACGCCGTGTGCGGGAGGGTTGGCGGCCCCGTGGGCGCGGGCAGGCTCCGGCCGGGACCGAAGAGGCAGCGCCGCGTTCGTCCGAGGCCGCGCCTGGCGCCAGCGGCCGCTGGGTGGCGCTGCAGGACAAGGAGCGCGACCGGCCGCTGCGGCTCCCGTCGGCGCCCGCTCGAGCCGGGCTCTCCTCCCCGTGGGCGGGGCTGACCGAGGTGCCCCTGGCGCCCGCGCAGTGCGCGCTGCTCCCGAGAGAGTGCTCCCGGGCCGCACAGAGCCTCTCTCGTGACTCCCGACGGAGTGCTCCCCGCTGCCTGCACGGTGCGCACTTCTGTGGCCCTTCTCTGGTTCCTTAGGGAATTCTGCCCCTGGATGCACTTCCCAGAGGGGCTTTCAAGCCAAAAAAGGGGCAGAGAACTTAGTGCTTAGTCTTCCCCAGTTTTTGTTTTACTTTGGAACTTTGGGCCACAGCAGGCGGTGCTTAGGTCTTACCTGCACTCAGGGATTGCTCCTGGCAGGGCTTAAGGGGCCCGGAGAGACCCTGGGCTGGCTGAGCGCCTCCCTGCTGTGCGGTGGGCGTGGGCGGTGGGGGGTTCCCTTCTTGATGCCTCTGGACCTGGAGGTCTTGGTCCCTCCAGGGGTTCTTCTTGTCCCTCTCAGCTGAATTTCATTATAAGAGGGAAATCATGTTCATATTCACCTAAGGGACTGGAGCGATAGCACAGGGGGTGGGGCATTTGCCTTGCACGAGGCCAACCTGGGTTCGATTCCTCCACCCCTCTTGGAGAGCCCGACAAGCTACCGAGAGTATCCCGCCTGCACAGCAGAGCCTGGCAAGCTCCCCGTGGCGTATTCGATATGGTAACAAGAAGTCTCACAATGGAGACGTTACTGGCGCCCGCTCGAGCAAATGGATGATGAAGAACAGGACAGTGCTACAGTGCTATTCACCTAATAGTGGTCCCAGAGGGGTGGAAGCCACGTGGCGCATGTTCTTTGATCATGGTCCAATCCAGCTTGATAAAAGTGCAGTGCTACGTGGGGTGGGGTCTTGCAGCCCTGGCACAGAGAGGTTGGGACACTAGCTCAAAGTCACTCAGGTTTCACATGGTGAGGTTGGCTGGTGGTCCAGCCCTGGGGCTCTCCCTGGGTTGGAAAAGGGGTGGGACCTGCCTTGGAGAAGATTCTTGATAAGCTCCACGTGAGCAGCATCTGAGAAGCCTGACTGTCCCCCCCCCACGCCCCACCCCCACCCCCCATCCCGGCTTAATGGTTCTCCAATAAAGACGCCAGGGAGAACAACATGCTGATTTATTTAAAATAGCTCTGGGTGTCATGGGTGGGGAAGGCTGAAAAGCATGGGGGGGGGCACCCGCTGACCCAGAAGGGGCTTCCCGGGGAGCACCTGCCTGATGGATGGGACCCCACATGGGGGGATGGTGCAGCCCGGGCTCTCCTGAGCCCCTGGACTCCAGGGAGTCACGGTGCCAGGGACCCTGGCAGAATCGCCGCCTGGTGACATGCGGTGCCCGCCGGAAGGGGCGTGCCGGCTAGTCTAGGGGTTTCCCCAGGCTGCAGCAGAGCTAGCCTGGCGGGGTGGGGGCCCCGCGAGGCGGGTCAGGGGTGCGTGTAGTTGCCCAGATGCAGGGGCCCCTGGCGCACTGAGCGCTCCTGCGCATGCGCCTTCAGGGCGCGCTGGCGGTCGGCCTCGGTGGGGAAGGTGTCCAGCTGGGTGCCCACCTGCGGGAGAGGGCGCCGGTCAGCAGGCAGAGGGGCTCCCGGCTCCCTGAGGTCCCCCGTAGGCCCTGCTGCCCTCTCCGGGTCACCCACCCTTCCTCCTGCTGCCCTGGGAGCCCCGGGTCTCTGCTGCAGCGGGAGCGATCTGCCAGGCGCACCCGCGTCTCCAGTGCGTGACCGCGGGCGGGACTTGGCCCCGGGTTTCGCACCCAGGGAGCTCTCAGAGCCAGGAAACTACTGTGGCCTTTCGCGGGCCTTAAGCTCTGGATTCGTTTTTGGGGGGAGGGTCACACCCCACCATGTTCAGGGGTCACTCCTGGTTCTGCACTCAGGAATCACTCCTGAGTGGCAGTGCTCGGGGGACCATATGGGATGTCGGGGATCGAACCCAGGTCGGTCACATACAAGGCAAACACCCTACCTGCTGTCATATCCCTCTGGCCCCAGCTCTGGATTCTTTCCAGGATGTTCTGCCACAACAGGGCACGCCCTGCGTGGAGGCGGGAGGCAGGGGCTCTGGAACTTGGTTGTGTGATGAGGAAACTGGGGGTGAACAGTCTATTCACTCGGGCTGGGCAGGAGGGGGGACCCCACAGCAGAGCGGCCCTGGCCTCCCTCCGGGCCCCAGCCTGCTGTGCACCAGTGTGCCTGCTGTGCTGCCAGGTTGCGCCTGGAGGGTCCCTGCTGAAGACAGCCCCAGGATTGGGGTCCTCGCATTTCCCCTGGGGGTCCTGGTGGTGAGAGCCTGTTCCCGGCAGGGGGCCTGCTGTCGGCAGAGTGACGCCCCCAGACGCCCTGGGCGTGTAGAAGCTCCAGCAGACACGGCCAAGCCTAAGCGCCAGGTGAGGTCACCCACGGGAGGCGACACTGCAGCCGGGACTGTGGGCGTGGGGGGGGAGGGCTACGCTGGCATCCCTGGGCGCCATTCATCCCCAGCCCGTGTCACAGACCCACAGGGAGTTTCCGGGCACAGATGTCACCCCTGAGCCCTGGGGGGTCTGGCCCCGAGGGTGCCCATCTGCCTGGAAACCCCAGACCTGCAGCAAAGCTGAAGAAGTGAGTGCGTGAATGAATGAAGTGGGCAGAACTTGCCTGACCACACGTGGCTTGGCTGGCCCGGCAGGACCAGGTTGGGGAGGCAGGTGGGGGGTGACCAGAGTCCAGGAGCCACTTGGGGACAGATTCAGGCAGCATCTCGGCCCCGGGGGACATGGGCGTCAGGGCTGGCTAGACCACAGCCCCAGGCAGAGCCGTGAGCCCCGCAGGGCAACCCCCATCCTGGAGGCTGTGGGCCAGGTCTGGCTGCTGTGCAGCCTCTGCCCCGCCCAGCTAGACGTTGGGGGATGGAGCCCCGAGCTGAGGCCGGTGTGCAAAGGGGCCCGGGGTGGATGGCCCAGCGATGGCCGGGGCCTTACACGCTCTCCCACCTCCGCCTGCAGCTCCGCCTGCCCCAGGCCTCACAGTCTGAGCAGAGCACTGTCAGACGAGCCAGCTTCCGGCTGCCTGTGATGAAATCCACCAGAGATGCCGCTAAGTTAAGCTGTGGATGGCAGGCCACCTGTCTGGAGCTAGGAAACCGGGCAGGCGGCCGTTGGCAGGAGACAGCTCTGCTGTGAGGCCCCGGGGCCGGGGGAACAGCCGGGGTGGGGCGCCCTCTGAGGCCCCCGGGCTGGGCGGGGAGTGCTGGCGGCTCTGTCAGGCTGTGAGGACACAGGACCTGGTGGAAGGGGGGTCTGCAGCAAAGCATCGCCCAAAATAATGACCCCATGGCCCCAGGTCACAGGCTGAGGACCCCAGTGAACACACAGCGGCCCCCCGTAAGACATGGGTCCGACCACATTCTGTATGAAGAGACGGGATGGGGGCCAGGTGGGTGGGCTTGGGGGGTCTTTCGAGAGAAGCCAAGCAGGAGAACAAGTTTGAGTTTCTTTGCTCCTTAACTTTCTGTTCGCTCCCAGTGCTGGGCCATACCCAGTGGGACTCAGGGGTCACTCCCAGCTCTGGAGCCAGGGGTCACTCCCGCTGAGGTGGCGGGATTGCATCCAGGGCTCCCACATGCAAAACTTGGCGTCACCTCCCCAACCCCTGACCCTGACTCTGGTAGGGGCTGGAACGGGCGGACAGTGGGATGGGCACCCGCCTGCAGGCCAGCCTGGCCCCCGCCCCACTCCACATACGGACTCCGGAGCCAGAAGTGATTCCGGAGCACGGAGCCAGGAGTAAGTCCTAAGAACCTCCGGGCATGGCCCCAAAACTAATAATACTAACAACAATAATAATAACACATGTCCAAGTAATCTTGTTAGTTATGTTTAAAACTATTTCTAATTTAATATCTTGATATCAAAGTAATGTGCACGAATCGGGCCCTTTTTCCTTTTATGGGTGGGAGAGAGTGTTCGGGACACTCTTAGCAGTACTCGGAGATCAGTCCTGATAGTGCTCAGGGCTGACTCCTGGCTCTGTGCTCAGGGCTGACTCCTGGCTCTATGCTCGGGGCTCACTCCTGGCTCTGTGCTCAGGGTCACTCTTGGCTCTGTGCTCAGGGCTCACTCCTAGCTCTGTGCTCAGGGTCACTCTTGACTCCGTGCTCAGGGCTCACTCCTGGCTCCGTGCTCATGGCTGACTCCTGGCTCTGTGCTCAGGGATCACTCCTGGCAGTGCTCAGGGCTCACTCCTGGCTCTGTGCTCAGAGATCACTCTTGGTAGCATGCAGAGGACCATGTGCAGGGCCAGAGATTTGTGCCAGAGTGCCTTACCCCTATGCGGTCTTGCCACTCCCCCTTTTTGCTCTTTGTGCCTGAAAAGTGTCCTCTAGTTCCAACAGAATCTCTGGGTTGGCAGAGACTTCCCCTGGGTGCCCCGTGACGGGGCCGAGAGGCAGCCCTCAGCCCGGCTCTGACTCAGTGAATATAGCTGGGCCGGCCAGATGCAGCAGTTTGAAAACTGCGGGTCTGGGCAACTACAGCTGCCCGACTATCCTCCCTAGGGCTGACCCTGCAGACCCGACTTCCAGCCAGCCCTGGGAAGCAGCACCTGAGCAGGGGGGCAGAGGGCGGGCAGCGGTGCAGGCTCCACTCAGGGAGCATACAAGCCCACCAGCCCAGCTGGAGCTGCTCCCGCTCCAGTGCTCGGGGCAAGGCCTTTAATGAGGGAAGAGGCCGAGCTCATGGCCTGACCCGGGGCTGTGCCGCCTTCCGAGTGAGGCTGTCCACGGCAGAAGCACCCTGAGAGGGCCTGGGCCCGTGTCCAGCTCAGGGCGTCCCCGGAAGTAGGGCAGGAGTTGGGAGCACTGGGGTGTGTGAGCGCCAAGCCACGGCTGCACTCTGGCAGTGGGGACAGGGACAGGCCTCAGGTCCGTCATCCCGGGCAGCTCTGTCTGGGTTCAGGGGTCTTCCAAGGGTGCTGTCCCCACCCCAGGGCGGAGCCGTGAGCTGGGCATGCCTACTGGAAATCCGAGTCACCGAGCAGAGCAGAATAGTGCAGTGGCCTTGGCCGCCCCGACCACACCCTGGCCAGTGCTTTGGTGTGGGCCATCCCCAGAGGTGCTTCGGGGAACATGCGTGCAGCAGGGATCAGGGTTGGGCTCTCGGCCTGCAGCCACACGCCGGACACCGTCTTATCCTTTGGGCTCTGTCTCCGTCCCCAGTGCCCGGTGTTGGGTGGACAGGGTAGATGTGAGGACCCCTCAGTGGCAGCACGGCCCCAGCTCCCAGCACAGAGCCGCGGGGACAGCCTCTGGAGCCCCCCCAGACTCAGCAGGCACCCCCGGGTCTTCCCGACACTGGGTGGGTCGTGCTGACGGCCGCACACAGCAGACGTGGGGGCAGACTGGCCTCAAGTCAGCCCGGTGTCGCCGCCTTGGGACGCGGAGCCCAGAGAGGGGGAAGTCGTTTGCTTTACAGCCAGTTTGTTGGTTTGGGTTTGGGGGCCACACCTGGAGTTACTCAGGGCAGACTCCTGGCTCTGTGCTCAGGGCTGACTCCTGGCTCTGTGCTCAGGGCTCACTCCTGGCGGGGCTCAGGGGAGCCCGCGGGTGGGGTGCCAGGGACTGAGCCTGTTCAGTCACAAGCAGAGCAAGTGCCACAGCCCTCTACTGCCGTTGGTTTTATGTGTAATTCCCACCTGCCTCGTCCCCTTTCCTGTTTCCTGCTGCCCACCCTTTCCCGTCCCTGGTGGCAGCTCTGGGCTGGTGGCGCCACAACTGCTCCCAGTCCCTCGGGCCGCGCCTCTTTGCGTGGTGCTCAGGCAGGCCTGGGGCGTGCTGGGGAGTCCCGCGTGGCGTGAGGCTCTCAGGCTGGGCCGCGGGGGTTCCAGCTCAGGGTGAGCCACTTGCCCCTGGGCCCTGGGCCCGTTTTCTCTTCTCAGGAGGAAAAACCTCACAAGGGGTCAGGTGCAGGGGGGAAGTTACTTGAGTGGGCGGGAAGGGGCCCTTCTGCACTCCCCTCCCCTCCGGGGCCTCTGTTCTCTCCTATGTGTTCGGGGCCGCACTGGCCCAGCCCGAGCTCAGGGGGCTGCTGGTGTTGGGGGGAACCCGGGTCGGAGCGTGCAAACACCCTCACCAGGACGCCGCCCGGCTCGCTGCTGAGTCGGCGACCGTGTGTTGACTTTCGTTGCCACCAGCAGCGTGACCACGGGGCCTGTGTCCTCCCCGAGGGACCATCCTCCTGCTGACCCTCCACTGCTTCTCAGGACCTGAGGAAGTGCTGCTGGCTTCCCAGAGGCAGGGCACTGCCGTCCAGCGCGTCTCTTCTCTTTCCTGAGACCTCAGCCTCGGGGTGGGAGGGAGTCACTGGGGGTCAGCTAAGCGCGGGGCGGGGGGTGGGGAACGCTGGGCTTCCACTGTTTGTTGAACCCTGGCTCTGGGGCTAGATGTCAGGCGGAAGCAGCCCCCTCATCACCAGCTCCAAAGCCAGCAGGTCCCCTAAGGCTCCCCAAAGGGGCAGCAAGAAGCCCCCCCCCAGCCCTCTGATCCCCCCAACTGGCCCTGAGCCTTCCAGAGC